CTCCCTCCTTTATTGTTGCTAAGTCCATTGCATATTTCAACCTCCTCCTGAACTGTAAGACGTTCAAAATTGGTACATTCTCTCGTGTGATCCATTTGTAATAAATAATTTATAACGAATAAGTTTATATCCTACACCAAAAATAGAGAAATAAAACTGATTAAAAGTTAATTAGAGTATAATACTAGAAATACAATAGCGTAATATGTTTGCAAAATAGAGGCTCAAACCAGTAGCAATGTGCAAGGAAGTGAAGATACTAGAGAGAGAGGAAAATAGAGAAATGAGAAAGAAGAAGGAGGAGACACATTTTTATACTATTCTACATACTACTGACGAATTTTTTCATCTGTAAGTGCATTGATTAAACGTAGAGTTTTATTAATTGACTTATAAATGAAAAAATTCATCTTGTAACTCTCTATTCATGGAATACTATTTCATTTATGCTGTTACAGACAAAGTTTTCTGTCTATAATTTGCGCTTAATATTTCTCGCCTTAGTTTCAAATTACAGATAAAAAAATTAATTTGTAAATTTGTCGGTAATATAGATAAAAAAAATATCAGTCTGTAAAATTATAGACTGATTTTTCTGTTTATAAATCTGTCTATAAAATTAATGTAATACTAAAAGAAAAAAAATCTATCTATATTTGCAGATGAATTTCATAAATGGACTTTTTTTTTGTTTGTAATACAAATGTATTTATAGACAAATTTATCCAAAAATTTAAAAAATATAATTTTTTAATTTTTCATCTATAAATCTATCTATATTATGAAAAAAAAATTATTTATAAAAATTCACATATTTCTAATAACAAAGATCTATAATCAGACATAATTCTATTTTAGTTAAACAAAAATATCATATTATTTTTATTTAATTGTACTTTTACTCAATTCACTTTGATTTATATGTAATTTTATTTTTATTTTTAATTGCTCATATTTAATATTTATAATTTTTAACTATTTAAATTAAGTCTATCATTCTAAAAAGTTATTTAATAATTAATAAAAATATAAAAAATATAATATATAATTGATTTATACATATTTGTAAATAAAAATATTACAAATAAAATAAAAATACTTATTATTTTTTTATATATTTCATTTATTATGTTTATTTAAATATTTTTTTCATTAATTTGTAGACTTAATTCTATTTTTGGTCTTTAAGCATAGGTGAAGCTTTGACCCTCATAATTTTAATTATTCACATTTAATCTTCCATTATATGAATAATTAAAACTAAAGAAGAAAAATAAACATAAATTAATATATGATGACTAAAAGTATAATTAATTTTTTTTAAATTATGAAATATAACAAATAAGATAGATTAAATTTAATATATTTATGAGTTAAATTAAGATTAATTTATGAGTTGAAGTTAGAAAGTGTGATACTAAATTTTTATTTTAAAGTAATACATTAAATAATTTATTGACAATGGTAAAGTGAATAATAATCTTAAATTTGAATTCAACCTGACTCAACTTCCACTAAAACAAAGTCGTGCAAAAAGGTAAATTTTATTAAAAAAATTCACGAAATAAGTTACATGTATAGCATTTTTTTAATTTGATTAGACCAAATTCAATGTCAAAAGTAAGCTAACAAAGTAAAAATTATTAAAATATATATATTAAAATAAATATATTCATACCCTATAAGAGATCTCAACAAATAAAACATTAGACCTACACTGTTCTCATCAAATCTCGAGTTATCAACATGGCGCCACTTCTGCCCTGCCACAAGCAAGATCAATATCATTTAAATGATGGGGGGAAAAAGAATCAACAGATGTATTGAAATTAAAAAAAAAAAAAAAAAAGGGGTAATTAAACATCCTTCTTCCAGTATTGTGCACCAATAGGAGAACAAAATGGGTATAGTGAGGAAGGGTGATTAGTGAATTGCAGAAATAATCAATTGACAGACTATAACGTGATCCAAAACATGATATTACATTTCCAATAAATCAATGAACGCAAAAGAAGAAAACAAATCTCTGCAGCCTTTCCTTGAAAAACCTTGCTAGGAAGAACACCAGTGCGACTATACAAACTAATGGTGATGAAGGAAATGGTGGAGAGAGGAATTAACCCTACGATGGTTACGTATAACACGTTGTTGAAAGGGTATTTTAGGAGCAATCAGGTTAAGGAAGCTTGGGAATTCTATTTGGAGATGAAGAAGAGGAAGTGTGAAATGATGTTTTTACTTACACTACGATGGTTCATGGGTTTGGTGTAGTGGTTGAGGTTAAGAAATCTCGTAACATTTTTTATGAGATGGTGAAAGAGGGTGTGGTTCCTTCGGTTGCCACGTATAATGCTTTGATTCAGGTTTTGTGTAAGAAGGATAGTGTGGAGAACGCGGTGTTGGTTTTTTAGGAGATGGTGAAGAAGGGGTGTGAGCCTAATTTGATTAGTTACAACGTTGTTATACGAGATTTCTGTCATGTTGGTGATATGGTGAGGGTGTTGGAGTTTATGGGGAGAATGGAGGAATGTGGGTTGTGGCCTTGTGTTCAAACTTATAATGTTGTGATTCGGTACTTTTGTGATGCTGGGGAGATTGAGAAGGGTTTGGAGATGTTTGGGAAGATGCGGAATGGGTCGTGTTTGCCTAATTTGGACACTTATAATGTTCTGATTAGTGCCATGTTTGTGAGGAAGAAATCAGAGGATTTAGTGGTGGCTGGGAAGTTGTTGATAGAGATGGTTGATAGAGGGTTCTTGCCGCGGAAGTTTATGTTTAATCAGGTTTTAAAGGGACTAGTTCTAACTGGTAATCAAGATTTTTGCAAGGGAGATATTGAGAATGCAGGGCAGGTGTGGCGTGTTCTTCGGCATTTGAAATTATGAGGCATCTTGTTGTTGGATTGGGTATGTTGTCATTTCTTGCTTAGCATCATTTAAAGGTTTCAGTTTTTTTCTTCCTAAGATCATGTTGGTCACCATTCACTTTTGTCATCAGTGCTGATATTGGACACTTGAAGGATGAGAACAATCCACATGGTTCTGAACCATTGAAGGTATATGTGCGTTCAATTTGAAACCATGTTCTGCATTCTGTAATTTTAACATTTTGCTTTCTGCAGAACACTCTTGTGACGAACCTGCCATAGCTAAAAATTTTGCTTGCAGGAGCTCCTCGTTCAGGTTCATTTCAATATTCCATTTTTATTTCCTTTTTTATGTTCTCGCGTTAATCTTTTTAAAGGTTTGATTTCAGAATGTTATGGTGCTGAAACTGCATGTTTACTTCAAGTTTCGTTGATTCTCAGCTTACTTTATTTTGAGTTTCAACGTGTTATGGTTTTGATTACAACCATTTTCTCCCTGTTCTCCTTGGATGTGTATAGAAGAGCCATTAACTCTGCTATATGGCTTGTTGGATGTTACTTGGAATAATTTTCAGAAAATTAATATCTAAAAGTGTTGATAACCTCACTGGCACTTGCAAAACAGACTGTGATTTGATTTGCAGTTAAGGAGGCTGACACTAAAGTCATCCTGTATCTACGAGTTATATTTCAATTAGATGTCCTGTTGCTTTTCATAAGAGCTTTGCAGATGAATGAACCAGTGGCATCATCCTTCAGATGTTTCTCCACCTTAAAAGGATACATGTGGGTTCTTAAATGCGATAGATAGATATTACTTTCACCTTCCTTTGGCAGTTCTCAATTACTCAGCCAGGTTCTGAGTACGTGAGTGAAGGCTTTTTGCTTGGAAACCTCCTTAATTGGCAATTTCTTGCAGGAGCTCTTTGTCCAATTCGGCTATTCTAGTCATCTAACTGAAGTCTGATGCGGTTCAAAATTTGCTTGATCATCACTACTACGACACAAGAGCAAAGTCGTGAGGCCATGAGGAATTAGAAAACGTTTAGCGTATACATGTGAATATTGACGAACGAAACCCAGCAGAGAGAGAGAGGAGAAATTTTAATAAAAAATGACGCGTTAAGGGACCTTTGATATTTGTCTTTAAAATGTATGAACAGCTTAGATAAATCTTACATGACTTTGTCGTGTTAAAAAGATACATGACATATATATTACTATATTATACTCAGTTAAAAGATCAATTATTATTCATTTGATGTCATGAAGTATAGCAGGAATACACAGGGAGAGAAATAAATCTATCTACCATCTAATTTTATCGTTTGATCGAATTTATGACAGAAAGTCCAGTACTAGCCATAATTTGATAGCATTAATTTTGAAAATAAAATTGATATTATTATCAGGTGTGAGTTGAATGTAGAAAAAGAAAAAGAAAAATAAATAATGTAATAAAATATATAAATAGAATGTAAGATAAAAATATATTTAAAGAATCAGAATTGATATTTTTTAAATATACATTTTTTGTTCATACAAAACAAAGAAAAACAAAATGCTTCCAAAATATGGCCAAAATTGAGCAAGGCACATGACACGTTAGTTTTGATACATTAGATATACCTACCTATACCTTACATGTGCATTCGCGAACGATGACCAAATATTTATAATTTCGGGAAGAACTAAATTTTAAAAAATAAAATTTTGAACGTAAGCTTTTAAAATACATTTTCATGTCACTTTTTATTAATTTGAAGTTTTACTTCTGAACTGAGATTTAATGTGATCTACACGAAAAAAATTTGATATTTAATGTTAACACTAATTTACGAAGTGATTCTAATTTAAATAAGAGGGAAAGCTCCAATATAATTAAACAGATTATTTTAAAAACCTTCACGCGTCATTAAATTATTATATACATAGTTTAAATATATTATTAATTTATTTCATTTTTAATTCTTAAAAAATATAAAAACCAAATGGTTTTTAGTCTATAACAAGGGACTAAAACTACATTACTGTATTAAATGTAAGCACTAAATATGAATAAAAATAAATTCATAGTTTTAGAAACAAAATATAGTTAAGCTTAAATTCCTTTTTAATCTTTTTACACGGCCAGGAGAAGGTGTAAATAGGAATACACGCCATACATTCATTTCATAACTGGAACGAATTCCAAATTATAACACAGTATCTCACTGTTCACACTGGGAAATGTTCACCTTCTTTTCCACGAAACGTCTTACTCTTAAGATGAGAAATACGTTTTCGGTGGCCACGACCTCTTCTGTGTTGTTCCCATTCGTGTGATCCTCTAAGTACCCGATCTCCGCAGGCCTGTCAATAAGAATGTTTATAAGAGAACGGTATTTTTGTTGATGAAGTAGTACCACAGTAAAAAATTATTATAACACATGACCCCAGAAAATACCGTGAATTCAGCCATAATAAATTATATAATCAGTGCATATGTAAAATAATGTAGAGTTGAATAAATCTTTAGTCTCTAAAATATGCCCTTTGTTTTGGTTACTGTATAAATTCTATTCATTTTTAATCTCTACAAATTATAAAAGTCATATATATAAAATCCCTGACAAGATATTATAACTACATAGTTTTTGTTAAATGTAAAGACTTAAAAACGAATAGTTTCTAAGAATTAATTTGTGGCACACAATTGTACGAAGACTACAAAAGCAGTGTGATTGAAGGGCAACAGCGGGCAAAACAAAGCAGATCTTTTGGGGCTAATGTCCCATGACAGGTGGATTCTAAAACATAACAGACCTTGCATATATATTGAGTCCAGAGGTCCCTTTGGACTGTTTTCATCCCCGTTTCGGTTGATGTTCCAAAGGTGGATGAGAAGCTTCCATTCTCACTCACGAAAGATTTAACTATCTTTACGGCAGATTCTACCACTTGGTCAGTCCATACATCATCTGATTGGCCTAGAACATAAAAACGAAATGGATGTAATCCAGGATAGTTTAATAAGTTAATTGATGATGATAAACAGAAAATGTACAGGAACAAGATTAAGACAACTTACTTGATATTGATTCTGTGGAATCAACATAGTGTATGTTCCAACCAAACAGTATTTGCAGTCGATTGAGCATCCTCTTCTATCATGAACAAAGATTCAATATCAATCCAAGACTTCAAGTTTTTGTACTAACTCTAGCCAATTCAATGTAGAAGGGTTTAGCAATAGTCATAAAAGAATATTGATCAATTATTATTTTCTCTTCAAGTTAACATGGGTCCTTAGTGATGATATGCTATGATACTGACGAGACAACAACATTAACTTTAGGCAGCACCAGGAAAAAAACTCGAGTCTTGTAGCTAAAACAAAGAAATATTGATATTGTACAGACTTATACAAGGTGAAATAAACGTTCTAAAAAAGCAGAAGGTATTTCAAACTTTTATATCAAAATTTAGATGAAGCAGCTCAGAGAGTCAAAGGTGATTTTATTTTACATGTGAGATTAATCAGAAAAATGACTCATTTTCAGTTTCCTTGCATGCCCAACCAAAGAAATGTTCAGTCAATAATGCTTGTTTTTAACGTCACAGAACAAAAGACAAATTTTACCTGACGGCGAACAAGTCTCCGGGTATTAAGCTTTACTTTCTTAATTGCTTCTTCCAAAAGAACTACGGATTCAGTATCAGTGGAAGATCTCACCAACTCCATCAGATCACCATTAAACAGTTTCTCACCCTTTTCTATGCTGCATCCCTCGGTCAATTCCCTCTTTCTTTCACACATGTCTTTGACAGAACAAGTTCTAAGAAGAGGTTCAAATTCACGGACACCAATGGCCTGCCGCAGACCTCTTGTATAATCTGCATTCAAATTGTAAATGTCATAGACTTCATTGAGTAACCCAGCGTCCATCATGCAATCTACCCTCTGCTCCACATATCTGTCCAATACAGGGAGAGATGCATCCACACATATAAAACAACAATCATATCTTAAGTTATCAACTTGACCCCACTTCTGCCCTGCCACAAGCAAGATCAATATCATTTAAATGAGGGGAAAAAAAGAATCAACAGACGTATTGAAATAAAAACAATGGGTAATTAAACATCCTTCTTCCAGAATTGTGCACCAATAGGAGAACAAAATGGGTATAGTGAGGGACGGTGATTAGTGAATTGCAGAAATAATCAATTGACAGACTATAACGTGAGCAAAAGCATGATATATCAAGGCATATTTGGACAAAGGGAAAAGAAGTCATATTAAATTTCCAAAAAATCAATTAGCGCAAAAGAAGAAAACAAACCTCCGCAGCCTTTCCTTGAAAAACCTTGCTAGGAAGAACACCAGTGCGAGTATACAAACTAATATATTGATTTATCTGAAACCCAAATAATACATCAATAACTACACCAATAAAACCAACATATTTGTACATGCGTTATATATAACAAACAGAATAACATCATGGAATTTCTGCAAACGTACCACTAACAATATAAACATTAAATAAGATAAAGATGGCCTTTGTATACATACGCCTGTAGAAGAAAAATTAATCAAATGACACCCTAACCTTTCTATGGTTATTTGGATGGATTCTATTTGCAGCAATTGGATCAATATCTTTAAGCAGGTCATAACTATTGTTTGAACCATCGTTTTCAGCAAAGAAACTGTTATCAGACAGCGCAATACCTATTGAATTACAAACGTAACAAGTACCGAGCATACATTAAATGAACAGAAACAAAAAAGAAAAAAAATAACATAGAGGACCGAATAGCAATTTACCAGGTGGATCATCCAAACAACCTTCATTCGTATCTTCTGCAGAATCGTCTAGCAGAAACGGACTCACTAGAGCCTAGAGAGGATAAATAAAAAGCAATAATTCAAAATATAAGAAATAAAGCCTTGCAATACATTTTTAACCAGTGCTAGAACACATGAAACTACACAGGCTATAAGTAAATTATATGAGAAAGAACATTATTGTCCATTATAAGAAAATAAAAAAAATTAAAAATAAATAAATAAATACCTGGATATAGTAATTTGTACCCCCAACTATAACAGGCAAGTGGTTGCGAGCTAATATGGCATCGATGATCTGAAAATTAAGAAATAACAATAATAAACTTAGACATAAAAAATATTTTTTAAAAATATAATCAATCTCTTCACTCTTCAACGATGACTAACTAGAGAATTCACAATCGGCGTCGAGACTCACAGGAATAGCGGAATCGCGAAACGCTTTAGCAGTGAATTCCGTGTTCGGGCTTACGGTACCCAGGAGATGATGCGGCACTCCTACAAGAAGTGAAATGAGGTTTCAGAAACGAAACGCGATTGGAATGAGGAAAAATCGGGTGGTACCATTTTGGTGAGAGAGAGGGACTTTGTTGGTGAGAATGTCGAGGCCACGGTATACTTGCATGGAATCAGCGTTGATGATTTCGACGGCGAAGTGTGAAGCCAAATCGATGGCAAGCTTCGACTTGCCGGAACCGGTGGGGCCCGTTACGACGAGCACCTTTCGTCGTTCTCCATTGCTAGGGTTTGAAGTTACAGTGTTCTCTGTAGCCATTCTTTCACTATACGTTTTTCTCAGGTTCACTTTTCTCCCCTTAATTGCTTTGTCTGTTTATCCAAAATATTGTCAAATTATTTTGGAGTAAATATAAAAAGACTTAAATATATATGGGTCTTATGTAAGTCATTTTGTAGGTTAAATAAAATACAAATTTTTTTGAAATAATAATGAGCAACTAATGTTGTTAATACAAACATGTAAAGCTAACTTTATGATTTAACTATTATTAGAGTGTCTTTAAAAGAGTTTACATATTTCATGAAAAAATAATTTGTAAAAATAATTTATAATCTATTTTAATTTATGTTTATAAATTTTATAATCTAATTTATGATAAAAATTCTCATAAAATTATTTATTAAATAAATATCTAATTAAGTTATTATTTAAACACACTTCTTTTTATATTTTTAAATTCACCACTATCTTAATATTTATATATCAAGATAAAACTTAATGTTAAGTTTAAATTCACTTAAAATGATAAAAAAAATCAGTCATTATTAAATAATATTTTATTTATAAATAAATTTAGATTTATTAACTGTTTAAAAGTATTATTAATTCTCTTTAAAAATATAACAGAGTATTTGTATATTTTAAATTTATCTTTAATAAAGTGTTAATATTTTTTAAAAAAATTGTTTAAAAATAAAAAAATTTAATTTATTAAAAAATATTATAAAATAAGCATTTAAATAAATTTATTAATTAAGTCAATCTTTTAAAAACACTCAAATATTAACTTTAAAAAATAGACTAAATTCATATCTTATCCAACTTATCTCAACTCAATTCCATCCCTAATTGAATCACCTTCAAGAAATTTCAGTATCGTAGATTCAATAATCTTAATTAATAACTATCATTCAATTTTTAAGGTTTTTCAATTATACCTCATATAATAAAGATTCCACGTCCCACTGTATCCCCCACGTATAAATTGACAACAATACAAGTATTAATGTTTGTAATTACTATAACATAGGGCCTTAAAATTAGATTTATTTTGTATTAATACTTGTATAATTACGAGCTCATAACTAGTTTACATAAATTTAAAAAAACCTTTTTACTAATTAAAAATTAATTTCTCAAAAATTGTTTAATAAGTATTTAAAATTAGAAACAAATATAAAAAAGGAAACCTTCAAACATACATAATTCTTTTCTTCCTTTCTTAATTCTCTCCATTCTTATTCCTTTCCTCTTAAATTCACCCATCAAAAGACCAATCATTTGCTTTGTAAAAAATATCGAAGCTTAGTTTAGTTCGTGTGTATAGGTGTAGAATTGATTTGTGCTAATATATATGCTAAATGCAGGGCAATAGAACAACCCTTTCAACGTTATTAAAACAGTAAAGTTCTGTAATCGTGATTCAATTGGGTAAGTTGAAAGGTGAAATGATGAATTAGTTTAACTAGACTTTTCCAAGTTTTGAATTTGCATTTGATGATAGAATCAACACATCTCAATAATAAAATGACAAGACTTGTGTAATATTCAGAACTTAGGTGTCTAATGCACATTTCCTAATTAAGTCAGCATAATACAATGAAACCACAAATTATGCCACATACAACGACACTGAATCCAGAAGGGTCACTTTTCATTAGCATCTTAATGCAAGGTATCTACGTTTTTGCTTAACTCCTCCAGCTTCTTCATCCTCATCCTCTCGCTTTCAGTCACCAGCTAACCCAAAGTTTGAAGGAAAAAGACAAGTTAGGTAACAAAATTATAATTTTTTACCAACATTCAAATCATCGAACAATTTCTTACCTCCATTAATTTAGTAACAAGTTGAGCTTTTTCCTTGTTTTTCTCATTGAAGGCTTCAAGGGCTTCCTTGTATTCTCTCTCCTGTACCCCCCCCCCCCCCCCAACCCAAAAAAAAAGTACTTGAATAAATAATCCAAGTTACAGTAATAGATTATATAATATTCTTAGTTCATATAAAATTAATAAATTTTGATTTAATTCCTTAAATATATTTTGTTTATTTTTAATTCATACAAAATATAAAAGTTATGTACTTTTAGTTCTCAGTAAGGAATAAATAACACTACTTTTATTAAATATCGGGACTAAAAACAAATAAAAATTATTAAGAAATCAAAATTTACTAACTTTACAAGAACTAAAAAATGTTTAACATTAAAATAATTGATATTTCCCTTCAGTCCCTTCTTTTCTTTTTTCTTTTCCGGGTCAGAATGATGCAAAAGAAGCCTTGCATGAGGAATTTGAAATCTCCCATTGAACCAAATCTATCATTTTCTACGTGGACATTTAAACACAATTATTATGAATGATCACCTTAACCACTAAATAATCATGTCCACTTTGCCTCCCAGCTGATGAGACAATATGGGGCCAAGAAAGCAAATAAGATTCATTGATTAAATTCTATACAGTGCTAAGGTGCTTGTATCAAAAGCAGTGTAAGTAAAACGCATGACTTTGCCTCCTTGAACAAATCATATGGCTTAAGTAAAGATTTTAGAAATGACAAAAGCAAACAACTGGTAAACAGCTTGAAAACCTCACCTTTCTCTGGCAGGTTTGGCCCAGGGGCTTTAACTCTTTGTTAACACTGTCTATCTTCTTTCTAACTATTGCAACTTCCTTCCTCAATGGATCTGTGAGACCCTCAAGTTCCTACATCATGATATGCAGTTTTTCAATCAATTTCTATTCAACACTTGCATTTAAAACACGTAAGCAATTGTATAAGAACAAGGATAAGCAACCAACATGACACATCAATTGCCTTTGAATTTCTGCTTATCCTCACTTCTTGCTCAAAAGGTTTAAGAGAAAACACAAAAAAAGAAACATAAGTTTCTAATCAGACTAACCTGAATGATATACAAACTCATAATTGATTATATACTTTTCTCATGCCATATAAATTGATTAAGATGTGTAAGATATATATGTTATACATGAACCAAAAACCAAATAAAGCATGAAAGCTTTGAGCAAAACCAAACATAACATCAAAGTGAAAGAGCGAAATTGTTAGACTTACTTCTCTAATCTCAGCCAAGCGCTTTGTTTCCTCCTCGACTCGACCCAAATAAGTATGAACCTTATCCCTCACCTCCATTTTTTTCCTCTCAATTTCTTCTTCCTTGGCTCGGAACATTGCTAGAGCTGATCTTGACATCTCCTCTTCCTTGTCATCCCTCATTGGACTCTGGTTAGAGCTAATCATCCCTGAGTTCCTAACTCGCTGCACACTTAGTTGTTGTTCATATGACTGATTTGGTGTTGCCATTGCTGCACCACAAACTACAACACTCTTTCCTCTACCTTGTCAATTCTCGCTTGTTTTCTCTCTTCTTTTTCTCCCTTTTTTGGAATGATGGCTCTCTTTCTCTTGAGGTGCTTATAAACAGGACTAGCTTTTAAGGGTATGAGACCAGGTAGCTTATTTTATTAACCAACTATAGAGTAAGCCCAAATGACAGAAATGCCTGTTAAAAAACTATAAAGTTAACAGTGAATTTATCTCCTCTGAACAAGTACTTCTTAGTGTTTTTTCCTGCCACCTTTAGTCACAAGCCAACTTGATTATATAGCACTATCAAAGTTCTAGTATTGGGATTTAGAGGTGTTACACGTCGAGAGTATAAATGTTAAATCTTTGCCTACACTTCTCCTTTTTATTATTCTGTGAAAACTTAGTGAAGAATCTTGATGAGCCTGCTTTGGTTAGGTAGCAATTTTCTTAAGTTGGTATATTGGCAAATTCAGCTAACTACTGCTTCTCACCACGGCATCAATAGTATATGTATGGACCCAAAATTTTAGAAAGACACATGTATGCATATAGTTATATACCTGCCACCCTACCTTAACCAATAGAATCAGATCCTCCTTTTACCATTTATATAACAATTCCTTGTCCATTTTAGTTAAGATCACGTGTATGGATGAATTTGGTTGAAAGTTTCTAAGTAGTATTGGTAATTATACGAGGTGTTCTCTTTAAGATAGAAAGGTGCTTGGAGCAGAAGTTTTGGTTGGGGAGTGAACAGAAAGGGCTCACCTACTGCTACAAAAAGCATGAATTGGGGAGAGCCTTAGAAAACAAGACAGAGTAGGAGAATTGGCAGCACAGTTACCTTTATGAAAAATTATTACCCATATGGCTGACCAGCCCAAAAATGCATTATGCAACGGAAAGTCAGATACCCTCACATCACAGCTTGGCGCTATGAGAAAGGCACTTCAGGCTTATGTTCCAAATAATTGGTCTCTCACGCTACTGGGCCAAGCACTATTGAGTTCCACTAAGTGGGAAAAAAACAGAAATCAATATCTTAGAATCTAAATTCATTTTTAAGGTAATATTTTATTATATGTGAATGCCCTTTTAGTCTTGAATTAATATACGGAATACATTGTAGATTGTTTAAAACTTCTTGAATAAGCACACAACTCGAATGAGTTAAGTAGGGACAAGTACAACACAAGTAAATACATGAAAGGGTAGATGGTGAGGACTTTCCAGGCTGACATAAGATCCTTCATTATTGTCATAAGCTCTGTTTTTTTATTTTGGGCGCATCATTGTCATAGATTAAGTTGTATAGTAGCGATTACAATTTAAGATGTTTCTTTGATCTAATCATACACTTGTATGGTTATTAAGTCCATCGATAGAACACTACTTTCTGACGTATACTCAGAAGAGCTTAAAAGCCAATCCTGCTCTGTCAAGTGTGGTGCGTCCATTCAAAGATCTGCAAAATTTCTGATGATTGTAGGCAATTTAATGTTATATGCCCCACAGTTCACCCACCCGAAAAAAATTGTAGTTTTCACCTTAGTGGGTGGCGTACTCTTGGTTGTGGGTGTTGACTGTCCATGAACTTTTAACTATCTGAATTTGATTCAACAGCATTGAATATATGTACCCTAAACTGTTGCGATTAAGGCACTAGTATCAACTACCAACTGGTTGCGGTACGTCATGTTGAACTTTGAAGTGCTCAGGCCCACCAGGTCAAACATATCATATTTCCACTGAATTAATGCAGTAAAAGTTTTGCTTTGCCTGATGATAATGAGAATTCATTTGCTGCTAGTGTGCAACACACTTCTTGCACATGATCAAACAATACCGCGAGGAAGAAAAAGTACATGATAACCTTGAACCCATAAAATGTTCAACTAAAGGGCAAATTCGTGCTTGCATTTACAAACTGAAGTTCGTGCCTTAATCTTCTTGTGCCATTCGTTGAAACAAACTGGTTTCTCCTTTTGACAACAAAGTTGCCAGCTTTACAGTGTGTTTGCTTAAGATTCTCGGGGTCAAATTCAAATCCCGAAAGAGAAATTTTTCCCTGGTGTTTTGTGCCTCCTAACCCGAGAACATGTAGATTTGTCTTAGGAATGCTCCTAACGAAGCAATTACACGACACAATCCATATATTAAAAATCAAATCTTTTCTTGTTTTCTCTCATTGACGGACGCTACAAGTCTCCACACAATTCGAGCGATAGTTGAGGTCCAATTAAAGGACGCAATAAGTTTGGGGACTTCAACAAAAATGTTATTTTTCACTACAAACATATAAACGCGGCAGTAGCGTATTACACGATTCTAACGATTTGTTGTTGGGTTTTCAGTTAGAAATCTCCTTGATCCACCGTCGTTGTTGGGGCTTCCAACTGAGAACCAAACATGCACTTAAGAATAAATACAAATGCTATGTAATCCAAACCGCACTTAGATCCACCTTCTTTGTCCATTTCACATGGTCCTCCCACCACCGATAGCTTAAGGGCCTTACCGAACCGCAGACGTGGAAAGACATGCTAGCTCATGCTACGTTACCCATTGATAACCAAAATAAGCAACAACTACTCGCAAGGCAATTCCACTGGTCGGTTTACCATGCTAACAGGCAAATTGAAATGTTTACAAAGGCATAAGAAAAATAGTTAAGCTTGTCTAGCGCATGCAATGCAAGGAGAAGCGTAAACTGAAAAGAACAATGAACAAGGAACAAGTCCTAAACCAGTAGTTTGAGTGGATTGAATATATAGAACAAACAAAGAACCACTTCCGTTCAAGTTATAATCTTCCAATGGTGATCAGAGTGTGCAACTAAGCAATTTATTAAGAGAACAAGCATAAATGCAAAGAAAATCACTGGTCCAAATTAAGCAGGTCCTTTTAGGTTGGTGCGGCAATACACCCAACTCCTCAATCCGAAATTGCCCAGTCATTCTTTCTTTCCTATTCCATGCGACATATTATAGATACCTCGTCCCTGTACAAAATGCATAAAACAGGGTCCGTAAGATACGAATAGAAAGTAGAAACAAATACAGAGTAGGTGACACTGATAATTTCAGTCCGATAAAATCAACAGACACGTATGTAGAGTTTAAATTTAGATTTAACCTACAATCAGATAAATTGACGATGCAGCCAGAGCAATTGGTATTGCAACAGATGTAACCTTGTCAAGGGGGCCTTTCACGTAAGTATACTTATGAATACCCTGGAAATATTTTTGCTTCTCAAAAAGCTTCTCTCGTGGTCTGAATGGTGCTTCCGACATCCTGCACAATATGGCCAGTGATAATCTTATAAATGCTTTTACCAACTGTATAAAAGAAGGAATAAGAAAGAAGAAAAAACCATGACATGAAATGAAATGAAACAAAACAGAACTTTATCTTGCCCCCTTTCCCACCCTCTTTTTCTGTCAAAAACACAACAAATCGAGAGAGGTGTTTGAAGTCTTTAACTAATGCCAACTCAGGCATGAAACAAGTGGGGAAAAGACAACAGATAACAGGGAACAATGCAATAAATATAAATATGAAGCACCAAACTACTGAACTCCTAGACCCAACCATGAATTGTATCAAATAAAAGTAGGTAATTTGAGGAGATGTAAAAGAAGTTGTATTATACAAAAACTTGCATGCTAATAATAATTTAGTACAAAAAATTTACAACTTCAGAAGATAATATCTAATATGTCATATTAGAAAAGCTTTACATGTACAATGAAGTAGGTCCCCATATTCTGGTAAGTAGCAAACTAGCTCTTGCCATATTATTCTCCTCACCATATCGCCTCACACACACTTGTGTAAAATGGAAGAATCGAAGTGTGGGGGCACAAAAAATTAGATGGGACCAGCAGCGATCAAGTTGTTAAAAAAGTGCAAATGTAATATGATGGATAAGTAAGAATGTGTGGATACTGGGGAGTAAGTAGTATTGTTATTAATGATTTTCGAATTACCTAAGCAAAGACTATGACAAGTGCAAAAAAATCATGAACAAAATTAACATCTCTCAAAAGTTGCCACTAGCTATGAACAGAGCATGTCAAACCCTAATGTCATCTTGCACCCAGTGAACAAATTTGCAGACAACTAAAGCTAACTTCATAGTTCATAACAGTGAATAAATCCTACCCCCCCCCCCCACACACACACACACGCACACACCCACCCACACCCACACACAATTGGAAAAAAAAATCAAGATCAAATTAAACCATCAATTTGGAAACGGATCAAAATAATGAAAATCGGGAAAACAAATAATGAATCAGATATAATCGAAAAAATACAATCGCATATAATCAGAATTTGAGAAAAAAAAAAAAAACAGCATCGCCGAGAAGGTTCGCAATTTGAACACGGGAATTCGGCAAATTTTAATAAACGACTTTTTTTTTACAATTTTAAAAAAGAAAAATGTAGCAGCGAGATCTGGGAGTAGTGTTTGGTTGAAATCATGGAATGTGAGAAATGAATACATGAGAGAGCTTTATCAGCTTACTTTGAATGAAGGTAACGGACTCGTTATCAATTGAGATTGGAGGCACAACAAAATGAGGAACCAGCTCTAACGATTTAGGGTCTTCCAATCGGTGAAGATGAACCATTTTTATAGGGGCTCCGTTTTTCTTTCTATTGACCCGGTCCGAATCGGAACACCCGTTACTTTAGTTTTTTCATAACAAAAATATTAAATTGAATTATTTAGTATTTTATTTTGCAATAATCCAATAAATATTTAAATTTAGTGTAACCTACATATATATGTTTAAAAAATAATTATTAAAATCACTTATTTAATTTTTATTAATATTTTTGCTTTGATTATGAATTACAAACATTTTATGAACAAAAATTATCAATAAAAAATAATCAACATTATATCGAACACTTACATAAACATTTTTTCATCCAGATAAATAAATATAAATTGAGACAATATATTAAAAATTGTATAAAATAAGCAAACTTTGTTATCTCTTATTATCTCAGACCCATTTGTATTTGTATTTTCAACCTTCATTAGATTAAAGTAAATGCTTTTTAGCTTTTGAAAAATTCTATGGCAAGCCTGTATAAAATCATGAACTCAAGTTTATTGTCTCGGGCAAATTTGCTAATTGTTGAAAGAGGATCTCGTTAAATAAAGTATAAATAAATAAAGGAGGATAAAAGATAGAGTAAAAATAAAGAAAAAATTAATGTTTTAATAAAAGGAGATAAAATGATAAAAAATAATGATGAGTACAAAATAATTGAATTATATTAAAAATAATTTAAAATGATAATATTTTTCTTAACAATTTTTTAAATATTTATTTTCTCTTAACATTTCTTAAAAAACAATAATATATATATATATATATATAAAATTCATGTCCCTACCAATCAAACCTTCCTTTCCCTTACTCTCTTGAGTCCCATTCATTTTACTCCAAAGTAGAAGATTAGAAGCCTGCAGATTTTTTCCTTCTGCCTCTTCCCTCTCCTCATTCAAATACATTACTAATTTTCATTCCCTTCCCCCCTCCAATCTTGAAATCAAATTTCTTATCTCAAAATAACATGTTATTTGTTGAAAGAGGATTTCATCAGTGTATGTCTTCCTCCTTTTATATTTAAGTTAATAACCTTTTTGTGAGCTTTAACCCATATTTTTTACATTAAAGAAAAGTTAATTCTTCAATGTTATTTTTTTAAATTAAGTAAAATTAATTAAAAAATTAACACATATCTACGATACATATATACATTTAATTAATTAATCCTCGCCATAAATTAGTAAATATATGTTGATTGTTTAGAGAAAATAGTCATAGGGTTAACCAAAACGACACTTCACACGAGGTGAGATTCCAGTGGTATAGTGTGGGGAGCTCATTTTGCAAAGCGACATGCCGTTTAAGTGAAAACTTTTGCTCCTTCCATTTCCATATAGCAAATTCTAGCTCGGTAGGGAGACATAGACAAACGAATAGAAGCGCGAAATGTGACAGCAGAAAAATCAAGCGCGATTAATAACGGCATCGTAGTCGTAGGAATCTTCTTCTTCTTCTTCTCTTCGCTAATTCTCACAACTACTCTCCAACACTCTCTGCAAAAGATGCGCTCCAAGGACAGAATCTCCTACTTCTACGACGGTGCGTTTTCGTTTCTTCCTCTTCTAATCGCATCCATGTTATTTGAATCGTATTTCTTCGTTTTCCGTTTTTTGTTTTACCAGGTTTCTTCTTCGCGAAATTGAACTGGCGAAACTCGTCGACGCTCTCCGCCTTGATGCGATTTTCTAATTTCTAGCTCAGTTCGGTTTTGAATGTCGAAACCCTAGCTAGCCCCTATCTTGATGCTCCTTGCGCCGAGGAAATTGAACAATAAGAAAGTGAACTTGCGTTTAGAACTGATTTAGATTTTAGTTTTAGATTTCGGGTTCTAGTCTGTGTTAGGCTTAGCTGATCATTAGCGCGGAGACATTTTTATTGATCTGCTTTTTCCTTTTAATTTATTTGCTGTCACTAGGAATTGTTTTGCATTTGTTTTATTAATTCCCACTCCATTGTTTACGGGAATTAGCATCGTTAATACTTAATAGCGCTCGAGTTATGTGACGAGCTTTTGATTCTTAAATACTTGGTGCTTTTTTTGGCTCCTGCTTAAGAAATAAAAATTGAATAGTTAATTGTGTGTAGTTCAGTTTATTTTGAACAAATAAACCACTATATTGTAGTAATCAATCCCAAATAGTGATGCGGAGGGGCTGACCCTTATATGCTACAGCAATAATCCCCTTTGATAGGATAGCAGGTAACTGAGCTATTTTGAAGTTTTAAGATATACATACTGTAAGTGATATTCTGTGTGCCCACTTGTGTGCATATATGCTGAATAATAATAATAATAATAACCTAAAATTCAAGTCATTCATGATTAATAACCAAGGTTCAGAATTTGAGAACCAAATGCTTCAATAGTAACAAACAGCGAGGAATCAAATAAGAACAGACCAATACAATGGTAGAAACAGTTCTTGGTGTTGTTACCCATGGCTTAATGGATGAAGCCATAGCTGCAAGATCATGGGCTCACGAGAACAGTGACAAGTTCACTGGGAAATGCTGTGCACACCAGAAATGTCACTAGGTTTGTCACTGTTGGGCGGCACAAATGGAGCGAGAAGGGGAAAATAGGGATTTTGTTCTGATTAAATGAAAAGGGAGGTGAAATTCCAAGACTGCCCTGCCCCCTACAACCTCACAAAATGACAGCATTCCCGGTAAGAAAATTAGGGTTTCCAAACATGGCAGAATAGCAACTGCGATGGCAGCAATTTCCTGCAATTGTGCCTGCAACTAGTGCTGCAATGAGCATAACACTGCAGAACTGTTCTGCAACGAGTTCTATTGAAGCAGCAGCAGGAGGCTGCGATGGCACAATGTGACATGACATTGTTATAGGCCCATAGCAGCACTATCGCTCACAATTAATTACTGTGTGGTGTTTACCAATTTCCTGAGTGTTGTTTAAAATAAATTATTATTTCTCCAAATTTAAGCATTTCAAAACATGCATGTATTCCTGTCCAGTAATATAAATATATTAAGAACATAAAAATAATTTTTTTTTATAAGTTAATACTTATTTTTGAATCCTTAATAAGTGTTTTGTTCATAGTTTTTTCATATTTACTAAATTGTCTCTTTGCAAATTTTCCTGGAACTCAGTTGCTTAAAAAGTTTAAACTTTATGTTGCAGGTGATGTGGGTAGTGTTTACTTTGGGCCAAACCATCCAATGAAGCCTCATCGACTTTGTATGACTCACCATCTTGTTCTGTCGTATGAGCTTCATAAGAAGATGGAGATTTATGTTAGTTACATATGTTGGCTGCTTTGTTTTTATTTGTATTCTTTTGTTTCAAATTATTGATTGTTGGAGTGGTTGATTACATAATTTTTTTTTTTTCGTAAATAATGCAGCGCCCACACAAGGCTTATCCTGTTGAGCTTGCCCAGTTTCATTCGGCTGAATATGTTGAGTTTCTTCATAGGATTACACCTGACACTCAGCACTTGTTTTCAAATGACCTGGCAAAATGTATGACTTTCCAAATTTTTAAATTCATCTTTTCACTTGTGATTTTAAGATTTCGTTTTTCATAGAATGAGAAACACTGAAAGAACTTGCACCCTTATTATAAATGCTTGGTATTTAACTTTTCAAATCAACATCATCCAACCTCAATGCTTATATAGTGATTTTACTTTTAGTATTTTTCAATTTAAAATGCAACTAATAACAATTTATCTTACATTCTTGGTCATTTCTGTCAGATAATCTTGGAGAAGACTGCCCTGTATTTGACAACTTATTTGAATTTTGTCAGATTTATGCTGGTGGAACTATAGGTAATAGGTTTATAGTAGTGATTCTCTTGCATTTTGTTCCTGCCTAGTTTGGCATACATATGCTGAAATGCTGATGAGATATACCTGCAGATGCTGCACGTCGGTTAAACAATCAACTCTGCGATATTGCTATAAACTGGGCTGGTGGACTACATCATGCCAAGAAATGTGAAGCATCTGGATTTTGTTACATCAATGACTTGGTCTTAGGGATCTTAGAGCTTCTTAAATATCATGCCCGTGTTTTGTATATTGACATAGATGTGCACCATGGTGATGGTGTAGAAGAAGCCTTCTACTTCACTGACAGGTCAGCAGTTTGTTATTTCTTATTTTATTAGATTTATGAAATGAGGCTATTGAGAACCTTCAGCTTTACGAAATTTTTTATTCTTATGATGGACTTGACTTGAGCTTAAGTATAAATATTGTTTATATGCTTAACACTGACGTGTCATTAGATTTTAATAATGCCGTTTGACAATAGCCATGCTTTGTCCCACTCTCTTTTAAATATGAAATAAAAAGTTGTGAACAGAATTTGCTTTCAGATGTTTGTATGCTAGCTAATAAAACATTTTTGGCACACTGTCTGTAATTTTTCTGTATTTTGTTAAATGGTATTGTCATGACAGGGTGATGACTGTCAGTTTTCACAAGTATGGAGATATGTTCTTTCCGGGTACTGGTGATGCTAAGGTGATTTTCTTCACTCTGTTTGTAGTGGGTTGACTAAGTTATTGTTTTAATGTGGTAATCACCCTATTTTTATCATGATTTTATTGGTCCAATGATATAAATATAATATATTGTTATTTCATTGTTTCCCTTATTGTGCATTTGCTATTGAATCTTCTTTTTTGTCCGAAACATTTCTGAAACTCTATAGATTGGAATGATTTGAACTGATTTTACTGTATTGAAGGAAATAGGAGAGAGAGAAGGGAAGTTTTATGCCATAAATGTTCCACTCAAGGATGGAATAGATGACCCTAGCTTCACTCGACTTTTCAAGACTGTAAGTTCCATTCTTTCTGTTTCTATTTCTGGTCGAACTACAAGCTCAATTTAAAAGCTATTCATTTTAGTAATACATCACATTATACTGACTTGTGGAGTCATCTCTGAACTTCTTGAATTCATACAGATTATTTCCAAAGTAGTTGAAACATATCAACCTGGTGTGATAGTTCTCCAGTGCGGAGCAGATTCACTTGCAGGAGATCGCTTGGGCTGCTTCAATCTCTCTATTGATGGTGCTTATCTACCAGTAAATTTCCTATTTTGATAAAAATATTATTCAATGTATCAGTTTTTGTCTGTATTCTTCTTGTCCAATGTGGGCTGTTGTTGTATTAGTAGATAGTTTAGCTTGATCAGAAGATTATTTTTTTATGTTTCTTTTACAGGTCATGCTGAGTGTGTTAGGTTTGTAAAGAGATTCAATTTGCCCTTGCTGGTGGGTGTACATCACATTATGTTTGCCTTCCATTTACTTGTGCTATGAGTGAGATTTAAATGAATAGACATCTGCCACAGGTCACTGGAGGTGGGGGATACACAAAAGAAAATGTTGCTCGGTGTTGGACAGTTGAAACAGGAGTTCTTCTGGATACAGAGCTTCCAAATGGTATATTAAGACTTTTGAACTCTTAAATTATGACGTGTTTTACCATGATTTTATTCCATCCATTACTTAAATTTAATATTTATTGTTCAAACTTCAAAGTAATACAGTCTCTGGAATGAATGACAAAATCTTAAATACCAAATTTTCCCTTGGGGAGCAGAGGAGAGGTTCTTTCTTTCAATGCATTAATGTACCAATTGCTTCATTATACATCTTGTCTTGCAATATTTGCCCTGACAATAATTTATTACCAAAATGCTTTCTATCTCAATCCAATCTTTCCTTTTCCAATCTGGAGAATGTAGGACATCTTCTGAACCATTATCTTACTTTAAAATTGCTTGCTTGTGTTTGAAGGTTCATGACTGAAAATGTAATCTGCCCCATCACTGCAAGCTTATAAATTATCCCATACAATCTCTTTTCCAACAAGTCAAATGAGCATTCAAGATTTAAAAATCTTTCTTATTGCCTCCAAAGTGGAAATGTTTCTTACATGCTTGGTTTATCTTGCAGAGATCCCAGAGAATGATTATATTAAATATTTTGCACCAGACTTTTCATTGAAGATTCCAAATGGACATATTGTATGTATTTTCTCGTTAGCCCTGTGCCTTTATTTATTGGGACTTTTCAATGCTATTGAGTTTGATTGAAGATTTGGATCATTTGACATTTGATTCCAATTTATATTGGATATGATCAAATTCATATTTTGCTATAATTTTTGTTGACTTTGCAGTATTTAGCAATGTGTCTACGATTTATACCATTGGTTGTACTCATTATTTTTCTTCTTTTAATTGATCAGGAGAATTTAAATAGTAAATCATATCTTGGCACCATCAAAATGCAAGTCTTGGAAAATCTTCGTTGCATTCAACATGCTCCAAGTGTACAAATGCAGGAGGTGAGTCCATCCTTGAAATAGGAACAACCCACCCAGTAGGCGAGCTCAATTTTATAGTGCAAAACTGTCTCTTGTGATTGTTTGTTTTGTTTCAACCTTTAGAGGCTTTATGTAACAAAAGTTAGAATCTCTCTAACCTTTAAAGAATGTGGTTAACAAATCAATTATTTGCTCTGGAAGGTGGATTCTGTGGCAGCTAATGTGGATAAATTTTCTTCTTCTTGTGCTTCTAAATTAAGATGAGACTCATTTGTAGATTGGAGATGAAAAAGTTGAGTGGAAATTCAGGAACAATATGTTAGCAACAAATGGTCGTGTAAAAATGCTGTGAAGCTGATGGATGACAGTCATTGAATTAGAATCTAGACATCCACATCTCTTTCTCACTTGGGAGACTGAAATGTATTACTTAGGTTATGTATGTTCTATGTTAGTAAACTTGGAATGTCACGTTGAACTTTTTCTGACTTGGGTGATTTCAAACTCCTTTGGTGATGTCATGATCAAACCAGTTTTAATCAAAATTGACCGATGGCAATACATGAACAAGTAATATTTTTTCAAAGGACGAGACTGACATTTTAGGGGTCACAGGTACCACCTGATTTTTACATTCCTGATTTTGATGAAGACGAGCAGAACCCGGATGAACGCATTGATCGTAAGGAGAAAAGAAAATTCCTTCTTGCTTATTCCCCCTGGACCTGGTGTCAAATCTTAGTTTATTATTGATTTTGATAATTCTCTTTACAGAGCACACTCAAGACAAGCAGATCCAGCGCGATGATGAATATTATGAAGGCGACAATGACAATGATCATCAAATGGATGCTACGTGAAGTTGGCCTGAGCTGTGTGTTAATTCAGTTGGCAATGGCATTTTCAAAGAGAAAGAAAATGTAATTAGATTAGATAGACAAGACCTTGATGTATCAAGAAGGCGGTGGGGCTAGCCTAAGCGACTCGTATATTCGTTAGATTTTCATTATTTTTATTTTTTTTGTATATTTGCTGAACACTACATTAATTCCGGTGCCATTTTCGAATTACCGAATGTCATTTTTGTGTGTGGAATGAACGTGTATATACATGATTATTCCAGACCTGAAAATATGAAAGAATTGCATAATATCTGTATTTTAATGAGAAATTATTCAGTTATCTTGGGTGGTTGTGGTGTCGATAATTCTTGTTTGGGCATGGCACAGTTCAGTTAGTTATAAAATATGAATTGTTAGTGTGCAAGTTTGATTTTTCAGAATGCATTTTTTTCCCTTACAAAGTTTGTTATGAATCTTTTTTTTAAGGAAAAAAAGTCCTATATGAAATCCCAGGCAGGACATTATGCAATAAATAATTGCAAAGCTAGTTCATTTATTCTTTGTACATTGCCATTTGTCTGATACAAACCATGACTATAGGATTGGAACAAGATACGCTAATCTGCTCTAGCATTAAAATTTCGTTTCTATGATTGTTTAGGGATTTAGCTCGAATGGAGAAAGGAGAAAAAGGGAAAAAAAAATAAACGAAGTTTTCCAACGAAAAATATATGAAAGTAGATGCTTTTGTTTGGGGTTTGTTCAGTCTCATTCCATATTTGCAACATTAGAACTTCCGTTTATCATCATGGTGTTTGCCGAGAGAAATATTAACAGCCACATCTTTTATATAAATTTTTCAATGATGAATTTTACGAGACTAAGGAGTGACAACGAGAGTGGATTTAGGATAATCCATTGGACAAATAAATTTTCAATGTTTACTACAAGATAGTCCGTTGGACAAGTTTGGCAAAAGAAGTTTCCAATATATTCAAATTGTGGATTTAGGATGTCGAACCACAGAAGCAAGGTACTTTGACATCTACGGAACAAATAATGCCTTAAAAAAAGGTATTAAGATCCTCGTAAATGTTTATTTTCTGCCAAAATGTTTTCCAACAATGATTCGCAAGCATCTTCAAGCAAATCCAACACCTGCCAGTGCCAACATATTGATGATAAGCAGAGCACCAACCACGAGTAAAGAAATCTTCTGTATAACGCTAACGTTTTTTCCATTTTTTAAAATAGGTGGATTTCCTACATCATCAACAATTTGAGATCACACAGTATTCTGACTGAATCATTAATATACTACTTCCTGAAAGGGTATAATTTTCTTTTAACTCACTCTGATATATCTTGGTCGTAGGTGCCAAAAGATGCAAATACAAAATTGTTTCGATGTAAGATGTCTGGAAGCAGAAATTCTTAGCAAGATTTTTGCTCTTATTTGAGAAGAGACCGGAGGTAGAACAGAAAGCATGACATAAACTAAATTGCCAAATAGACAGGAAGGTGTATCTTCAGAGGCAGCAACAAAGAAGAATTGATTTCAGGAACTTTCTATGACTCGCTTAAATGACATTATTTACCTTTAGAAATGTAATAAAAGTCCATTCTAGTGTTATCACATAATAACTCGAGTTTTTGAGATAGTTAACTAGTGACATGATATTATAGTCTTTATGACATAGCAGTCTACAATTCACTACTTGCTGCCCCTAATCTTCTCAAAAAAGGGATAAATTTCAGTATAAGGTAGGTGGAACTATGCATTCTCTATACTTCGAGCCCAAGAGAAATGCCCAAAGGCCTCTCTCGCTCAAGGGGTGTGTTTTAAACATATAATGCACAAGCATATATGTGTCTTCACCTAATTGTGTAAGCTTTTGGAATGATTTCAGTTCTCAATCAATTCAGCCAGACACGTCTATATGATGATTGACGCATGATGCTCTTTCCAAGTGATTTAATTAAATTTATGGACCTACATGATTCAAGACTATCGTTGTACTGGGAGGTAATATTCAACTTCAACCTACAAAATGAACCGAGAGCCAACTGATAACCTAACATAATTAGCATACCTTCTCAAACCCCTGTGGTCCACCGTAATAAGGATCTGGGACTTCAGTTTCATCATGCTTCTTACAATACGAACACATCAATTTAACCTGCATCACCAAAGTTAGACCAAAATGTATACAAAATGAAAGCCCCAGAGATGAGCAAAATCTTGCACCAACCTTTTTATGTGCATCATCTGGCAAGGTATGTCTACCTTTCCATCTATTGAAGGCCTCCAATATGTCCACTAAACCAAACAACAATGTCCAATACTATGAATAACAATTAAAGCACACATAAAAAATATGAATCATAATGTAACATCACATAACACAACATTCCATTGTTTCAGACCCTACCTCTGTTTTTTTTGTCCATAGCAAGAATGAGATCAAAGTCAACGAAATCAGAAGGCGTGATTGGCCTTGAAATAGAAGTTATCTGAATCCCACGCCTCTTTGAGGCTGCCCTCATTCTTGGGTCTGCTTCATTTCCCTTAAAAAATTATCAACATTGCAAAAAATCAGTTTTTTTTTTTTTACTTTGAAAATCTAAAATATTTCATCATAACGTTTAATAAAATGAAGAGAACCTCATCTCCCAGGATCACTTTTCACACTTTGTACCTCAACTAATTAAGCTAGGTGAACCTAACCACTAATTGAGTCAAAGTAAACCCACTTTTACTTTTTTAATTTTTCATTCACAACACTCGAAACCACATGAAATTGAAACTTAGAACCGGAATGGTCATATTAATTCAATTTTTAATGATCAAAAGTTAATTTAAAATTAGACTCAATGACAATTCCATAAAGTTACAAAACAACTATCTTCACTCATCTTCAATTATTAGCCAGCACCTTAAAAATTATCATGCAAAATCACAACAACAAAAAAATCAAGGTAGAATCTATTAGATCAAGTTAACATTATTACTTACCAAAAAATTAATATTTTATCATTGATATGAAGATATTTTTAGATAAACCCACCTCGTGGTAATTAATGGTGCCAGCAGAATCGATTTTGAAGTTGGAATTGAGACCCCTTTTGTTGACTAAGTCTGTGAAGACTCCTTCAGCAGCTGGGCTCCTGCAAATGTTGCCCAGACACACGAAGAGCACGGAAAATGGCTTCGTTTCCGTGTGTGTGGCAGTGGAAGAAGCCATAGACGCTCGAATCGGAGAAAAAAAACGTTTTTTGCAGGAAATGGAAGAAGGGGTTGTTCGGTTTCTCAGAGTTAGCGATGAAGGAACGAAGAACGAGGCCTTTGGGTTTGGTTTTGGTGAGAGGACGAAATGGGAACAGTGGCAAAGTCGTAAATTAATCACGTTCATTATTCCTTCACTGTGCACTGTCCTTGTGTTCCGTTATAAAACATGAACACGAAATTTTTATTATTTTAACTGTTTTTTGGCGTGAGATTAAAAACGATATCAAAATATGTATAGTATTTTTTATAATAAATAAATAATATTAAATATTATAATTTGTTATAAAATTTATTTATTTATTTATTTATTAGTGTGCCTCTATATATATGTTATGAAAAATATTATTTTAAAACACACAAATTTAGAGTTGAAGTTAAATATTAAAAGTAGTAATATTTTATCAAAAATAAAACATGGATTATATTAAAGATAAACAAAATACTAAATATTTACTTTTTATAATTTTATTATTATTAAATATTCAATCTCAATATTAAAAACTGAAGTTGTTGAAATCATAATAAAAAAAGTAGTAAGTTATAGATTTTATGCACAACTCAAGCATACAATTAAAAGAATTAATGACTTTTACCAAAAAAAAAAAAAAGATTTAATGACTCGCATATATTATCCATAGTTATTTTTTAATTTTTTCTTGTCCAAAATAGTTTCTTTTTTCAACTTTCTCCATTTTAAAAAAATTGAGATTGAATTGGCACCATTTGAGTTTTTATTTTTTGGGTCATAGCATCATTTGAGTAAAAGAGTCCAGTTTGGCATTTTTTCTATGCTCTGCAAAACTGTTGTTTTTCAACGTGGCCCAAACCCACATTTTCGGCCCAATATGTTCCTTGTCAGACAAAAAATAAAAAAGGAACCCGCGTGGGTTTAAATTCAGCCCTCCTTACACTCACACTCAGCACAGTGGCAGTAACTGATAATTCTGCTGCTGCGTTTTCTTCCCAACAAAAATGGAACCAATCGTAGAGGATCTTACCGAAGACCTTCACAGCCTAAGCTTTACTTCCACCACCACAACTTCCATTAAACGAAGCACAAGCTTCAGCTCCGAAACCACCACCATTACTCCTTCAACCTCTTCTCACTTCTCTTCCGTTTCCCTCTCCGACCTCCGCTTCACCCGCCGCATCGGCTCCGGCGACATCAGCTCCGTCTACCTGGCCCACCCCAAGCAACGCGGCGGCGCATCGTTCGCCGCCAAGGTGATGGAGAAGGAGGAGTTGGCGAGGCGCAGCAAAGAAGGAAGAGCGAGGACAGAGAGGGAAATTCTTCAAATGTTGGAGCATCCTTTCTTGCCCACTCTCTATGCCTTCATCGACGCCCCCAAATGCCTCTGCTTCTTGACGCCCTTCTGCCCCGGCGGTGACTTGCACGCGCTTCGCCAGCGCCACCCCAGCAAACGCTTCCACGAATCCGCTGTCAGGTGCTAACGCTGATAAGTTTTCTTTGCTTCGCTTTTCAATAGGCACAATTTTAAATAAATAAATAAAATCCTTTCAAAAAACATTAAAAAAATTATATACCAATAACTTTGAAATAAAACAACTGTAAATATTATTCAAATGAAAAATATTTTCATGTTAGTACTGGGTCTAAATTTATATATATACACACCGTAAGAAGAGCTTATAGTAATTTTTTTAAAAAAATTATGACTATATTTATAACATTAATTTTTATATAATAGAATGTTTATTTAAGTCGTGTTTATAAATTTAATCTTGTTGAAACTATCGATATGCACGTTTTTTTTTCATTGTTTACATTTGGTGGAGTATACTACAATATAGTAACTAATAAGAGTGATAATAAGTGTGTTAGAAATTAGAATGTGATTATGACGTTTTTGCAATATAATTCAGAAATGGCGGCACGTGATGATATTGATGTGTCTATGCATTCCACGTAAAATTACTTCTAAAGTCAAAACGACAACTCACGGTGGTGGCTCAATTTAAGTGAGTAGTGTGTGCCATTATGAACTAGCCATAAAGTGTGCATGACCCTAGGTGGTAGATCTAATTTACAACTTTTTTTTTAATGGGATTTTTTTAGCTTAGTTTTCTGCTTGGGAAAATTATAGCTTTTTCATAGGAGAATCTACCCAGACGACGAATCTTCTTGCTCTCTATATGTGGAATTATGGATGATGGAATATTTGAGAGAGATAAAATATTTTAAATTCGATTCTATAATTTTTTTGCCAGATTTCTGGATTTTTATTGTTATTTTAATTTGACTAAATGTGAGGCAAATCTTGCGGTGGTCCCTATGGTGAGATTTATTTTTCTCTCGTGTAATGCAAATTATTTTTAGCGTGTTTCATAGTCATACAAAAATTTTACCCAAATTTAGATATAATAAGTATTATTTTTTTTATCATAATTAAAGTTCAATTTCAATACTTTACATAACAAAATTCTACATTAAATATTAACACAGAAATGTTGACATATTAATGATCTTGAATTTTAATTAACAAGCAACGACAAATTTACCATGTAGGTTGTGTTTGGTGACCGTTCAAAAGATTCCTATGGATGTCAAATAGTTTCTTTCATTTTCTCCCTTATTCTCTCCCTTCCCCCAGAAACCACAGACCAAAGGAAACAAAAGCTGAATCTTTCAGATACATCATGTTCAACTAAACTTGATTTTTCTGTGAAACAACAAATGCTTGGTATCTTTGCACGAAGAGCTACTTTAGTAACTGCTTTTGCTTTCTTGTCATTATTTGCACCTCTCACATGAAACATACGACTTTTCAAATTAACTTTTGACATGCATATGGCATTATCATTGACATTTCCTTATTTTCTTCTTCCTTCTAGCGTGGATATTATCGATATTTTCTCAAAGATGTCACCCAACATATGGCAAGTTCAAAAGCAAAAAACATTTCTTGTCTCACAAACGGACAAACCTTGAGATAACGTTTCAACAAACATTCTTTCGCAACAAAAGAAAAAAAATAAATGTAGTTGATAATATTATAAAGAGATATTGCAAGTTTTACTAAAATGGTTACTTTACTCTAAAAATATATAGCAAGGTTTTAGTCAATGGTAATTTTATTATTCTTCTCTTGGTGTTTATAGGTTCTATGCATCAGAGGTATTGTTAGCACTTGAATACCTACACATGCTAGGGGTAATCTACCGTGATCTGAAGCCCGAAAACGTGTTAGTTCAATCTGACGGTCACATCATGCTCACTGACTTTGACCTCTCCTTAAAATGCGATGATTCCATATCAACGGCTCAGATAATCTCTGATAAAAACCCTACTCCCACTGTCCCACGTAACGAACCTTCTCATGTTACCTCGTCTTCATGCATAATACCCAACTGTATAGTCCCTGCCGTGTCATGTTTCCACCCAAAACGCAAGCGAAAGAAAAAGCATAGACCACACAATGGGCCTGAGTTTGTGGCCGAGCCCATTAATGTTCGGTCCATGTCATTCGTTGGGACCCACGAGTACTTGGCACCTGAGATTGTGTCAGGGGAGGGTCATGGTAGTGCTGTGGACTGGTGGACTTTAGGGATATTTATGTTCGAACTGTTTTATGGTGTGACACCATTCAAGGGCATGGACCATGAGCTAACCTTCGCAAACATTGTGGCTCGAGCCCTTGAGTTTCCGAAGGAACCCACTGCTTCAGCTGCTATGAAAGACCTTATCTCACAGTTATTGGTTAAGGACCCGGCAAGGAGACTAGGGTCAGTGATGGGAGCTTCAGCGATCAAGCACCACTCATTTTTTCAAGGTGTGAATTGGGCATTGCTAAGGTGTACAACTCCACCCTTTGTACCCCCACCTAGTGCTAAAGAAGCTGTAAACGATGACCATGAAAATTGTCCTGAGATTTCCATTGATTATTATTAATGGAGAGGGAATTGCAGCTATGTGTGATGGCTCCCTAAAACTTTTTTTTCTTTCTATTGATATTTCATCGCCCTCCTCTTTTTATATTTATGAGGCATAAATTGCAAAGTTATCAGACACATGATGATGAAGCTTGTGTTGACGTGTAAATGTGGGGTGGGGTGTAATATTCTAAAGCAACTGCATGAGATAAAAGAAAGAAAGAAAAAAAAAAAAAAAAACTGTTTGGTTTTAACAAAGAAAGAACAAGTAGAGGTTAGATGCAAATGAAGGGAGAGGGGGAGATATCAGATATGAGGAATTATAATCCTTCGTAGACTTACTTAATAAAGGACTTTGTTAAAAGGGAATGTGTTGCAAAAAGAGGTAATACAAGGAACAATATTAGTGTGATAATTATTTTACTAAAAGAAGAGGGAATGAGATGTTCAAACTTCAAATCTTGACGAAAACTGTACTTCATATCCCTTTCATTATTAGGTATCGATAAAATGTAAGAATAATTTGTTACATTTAACTGACATAAGATGTTGTGTGTTACATGGGTATTTTAAAAACATAATATATAAAGATAAAAAATAGTTTATTTAAATAAAAATGATATTTAACTCTAAATAAGGAAATTAAATATAAATGCTCATTTTATTATTAATCATGAATTTTTTTTCATATTAAATACACGTTTAATAGATAATATTTACAATCAAGGAGAAAGTTATGGAACTAACTAATTTAAATAAAATATATCATTTTTATTTATATTAATTATCTTAATTGAGTTAAATGTAATTTATGAGAGCTAGTACTTTATTTGAATTAGGATAAAAGGAAAATTATCATAAATTTAACTCATGTAATATAGTTTAAACGTAAATTTTAACATACGTGAAGAAATGACTTTAAAATTTAGGCATTATTGCAAAAGTCTTTAACAATTAACTTAAAAAATACTACTGTGTATAATAAGAAATTTAATATTAATATTATTGTGTATGATTTTATGGGTTTGAAAGTTAACTCAACTTTAAAAATATTATAATTTTTTTAATCCATTTTTAGATAAAGTCTTTATGAAGTAACGATTTTCTTTCCTTTTTTTCACTCACAGAAGGATTTCAAATTTCACAAACAATGTCAAAACAAATTTGATTCAGATTATAATAATCTTAAATTTTAATTTATCTAAAAAAATACTTTCAGTGTATTATAAATCAAACGTGATTTAAATTTAAAATAAAAATTAAATCAAATTTAGGATGGCAGATTTTTTAATTTTTTTATATATATACACACACACTGGAAACACGAATAATAAAAATAATGTCAAAAGCAATTAAAATTATTAATTTGGTAACTAATTAAATATTTAATTTAATTTCTTCTGTTTGGAGTTTGGGCCGGACTATCCCGAATCGTCGGGTCGGTCCAGCCAAACTTCATCTTACTCGCCCGGGAAAAAAAGGCGGGAAAATGCACTAGCCAGTGTCTTCTACCCCCAGTCCTTAATCCTCCATTCATAGTTAGATACTTAGATTAAACCAGCATAAATCATAATTCTCATTCAAAAGCGTTAGCCACAAAACTTTCGATCTCTTTGGCAACGATGAGCGGCGATCGCCGGAGACGTGATCTGAGAGACACCAGAAATTCCAAGAAGCGGAAGCTTATCCGCAACGCCGAGGAAGAGCTCGAAGCTAAATTAGGGTTCGATCTTTTCACAGAGGGCGAAAAGCGACTCGGATGGTTACTCACTTTCTCATCCGTAAGCTTATTCCTATTCCGTTTTTCTTTTACTTGCCGTGACTCTTATTGCTACTCGTTTGCATCGTTTTAAGTGTGAATGGAGCGGTTACTACTTAGTTGCATTTATTTCGATGAATGATTGAAATTTACTACAGTTAGACGAGAACTTGAGTTTTTTAGTTCCTAATTATAGTTGCAGTCACAACGAGTTGGTTTTCTGTGATGTATTATTCCAATGGGCTTAATACATGTTTTAACATAATTTGCAGTCATCTTACGTGGACGAAGACACTCACAAAGTCTATAGTTGCGTTGATCTTTACTTTGTTACTCAGGTATTGTTTGGTGAAAATGTTTTTCCAAAAGCTTAGTTTTCTTAAAAGTTTGGTAAATAGTTTATTTATTGGAGTCTGCTTGCAGGATGGGTCTACATTTAAGTCAAAATTCAGATTTCGGCCTTATTTCTACGTGGCTACAAAGGTAAGCGAGAATGCTCGTGTGTGTGTGTGCGCGCATTGGCATGGCAAGATGTTTGGGTCCAAGCATGTGTTTGTGTGTGACCAGACAGGAATAATCTATGCTCATCTTTTGTGAATTTATTCTGATTGAGACTTTATTTCTGTAGTAGCCACCGACGTGATGTTGTTGATTATGATTATATAAATTTAATAGGATAAAACAGAGATGGATGTTGAAGCATACCTGAGACGGTGTTTTGAAAGTCAGATTGCAGATGTTGAAATTATAGAGAAAGAAGACCTGGATCTCGTAAGCAATCTATGCATCTCTTTTTTGCTTTGCTTTTTCTCTGATACATAACAAGAAGCTCTGTAAATACAAAATTCACCATTAGCAATCTGTTTTCTTGGATTTCATTTGGTAATTCCTTCTGGAGTCTTTAGAAGGTCATGTCAATGTTATTCTTGATATAATCTGCATTAGTTTCTTGCTATTGTTTGTGGATTTTATATGGTCATTCTGGAAGTGAAATATAAGGTTGCTGTGCTTATTTGAAAATTTCATTTTGTTTCAATTCAGTCAGTTATGTTTACTTTCTATCTCCTCATTTGTTTTCATGATCCTTTACAGAGAAACCATTTGTCTGGGTTAAGAAAATCTTATTTAAAGCTTTCCTTTGATACTGTGCAACAATTAATGGAAGTGAAGAAAGGCCTGATGCCCATTGTTGAAAAAAATAAGGCAAAGTCTGATGCTGCAGAAGCCTTGGAGTATATATTAACAGGAAGAAGGTAGATCAATTTTCACTGAAAATAATTTTTTTAGATTGAATTATCACATGGACATTTTACTTCCTTTAACGATGCATTGCCATCCTTTTAGCTCAGATTATTTTAATTAAATAAACTGTGTTTTCTCACCTTTGATCCTGGATTGTTTGTTGCTTAGCAGAGAACAAAAACCTCAAGATTTTCTAGATTGCATAACTGAGCTTCGTGAATATGATGTTCCTTATCATGTTCGCTTTGCCATTGACAATGGTACCTTTGTTTTGTTAACAACAATTTAATTATCCCATGCTATGCTAGTATCTCTATTTATCATGACACTCATAATCACATGTGATCTAGATATACGGTGTGGCCAGTGGTATGATGTTGGAGTGTCCAACAATGGGGTCACACTTGAGAAGAGGACAGATCTTCTGCAGCGTGCTGAAGTTCGTATTTGTGCATTTGACATTGAGACCACAAAACTTCCATTAAAATTTCCTGATGCTGAATATGACTTAGTTATGATGATATCATACATGGTAGATGGTCATGGATATTTAATCATAAATAGAGAGGTAAGTGTTAACAGCTGATCTCTCTCTATTTTTCTGACTGTATTACAAAGGAAATCAGCAAACATGTTTCATCAGTAGTCTTCTCATGATAAATATATTCTGATTCTCATGATGACCTTAAATAATTGTGTTACTTCGTTTACAGTGTGTTGGGGATGATATAGAGGATTTAGAGTACACTCCGAAACCAGAGTTTGAAGGGTGTTTTAAGGTGACAAATGTTCAAAATGAGGTAATGTTACATGTGAATCCATATATCATTTATGTTATCTGCTTGTTGAAAATCTGTTCCTCAACCCCAAAGTTCTTTTATAACAACGAGGATTCTAACTCATTCAGGTTCACTATCTTCTTCCAGGTTGAACTTCTTAGATTATGGTTTTCTCATATGCAAGAGGTGAAACCTGGTATCTATGTGACGTACAATGGTGATTTCTTTGATTGGCCATTCTTGGAACGAAGGGCAACCCATCATGGGTTCAAAATGAGTGATGTAAGCTGTTAACCTTTTGTTTTTGGCAGTACTGGCTTCTTTCAAATACTAAGTAGAATGAACCTGCTAGCATGTTTCCACAATTTGCCATTTCTTTACATTGATTTATAAATGTTATTTAATAAATAGCTTATGAATGTGAAGAATGAAACTTGATTCCCATAGTATTTGAGCTTGAATTTGACTATGCTATGCAATTGTGGTTTAAGTGAAGAAAATTTTTTTGCACAAAAGTTTTGGTATAAATCATGTCTGTTTTTTTTCCTTCATATTTATCCTTATTCTGAAGCAGTGAAGCATATGGGTTTTTCCCTTTTAATTTATTGATTCAAATTTTTTTCCTTCTATTTCATCTTTGCAATTTAATCTTGCAGGAATTAGGGTTTCAATGCGACAAGGATCAAGGGGAATGTCGTGCTAAATATGCTTGCCATTTGGATTGTTTTGCTTGGGTTAAACGTGATAGTTATCTTCCTCAGGGTAGCCAAGGCTTGAAGGTAAACAGTTTGAACTCAGGTTTTCAACTATTTCACATAATTTATTTTGTTCATTATAATTGTTATTCTCTTCATTGTCTTTCACTGACTTTTTAGTGACATGGTTTTTTCTTTCACGATATATATTTTTTAATTCATTCAAAAGAAGTGCTTGTCCTCACATGGGACTTGCTTATGACTTACGTTCCTCTAAGATGTCATAAAGTGTGGATATTTTTGCCCTTAATGTTTCAACATCATTTTTTCAAAGTTCTACATGTAATATTTTCTATGTTTGTGAATTTCTTTGGTTGATCAATGAATATCATTTAAATAGTGGATAAAACCCATGTATAGTGGATGAGTACATAAGTTTTCAATTGTCCAATTTTCATATTATAAAGTGAAAAAGAAAGTAACAAAATTAGCAGACTAAAGAAAGCTCATTTATAAATAGCATACGAGTACCGATAAGAGCATCAGCATCTATAACAGAAGGTGAAGGTTAGGAGAGAGTAGAACCAACGGTTGTAGGGTAAGAAATAATGCAAGAAAACTACAGGAATTGGGTTTAAGAGAAATCCAACAAAGCAACCCAGGTTATAGGGCAAGACATAATGCAAGAAAACTGAAAAGAATTGGGTTTGGGAGAAACCCAACAAAAATAACCTAACGACATTCTGGACAAGGGAATGTATTTGCTGTATTTCAGGGAATTCTGTGTACAGAAAGTTAGCAACATTCAAAGCACTTTGAAGTACAAGGGAATGAATTTGCTGCCAAAGGGTGAAATGAACATAGAGAACCACATTCACAAAAGCTAGTTCTTCTATTAAAGCACTTAGCATATGCTTAGGGATGGAAATAAAAAAAGCTAGTGTATTTTTATTATGTTTTTTGTTACATGAAACAATGAAAACTTGCTTTTATTATTTTTACTATTTTTTGTACAAATATTTGAAAATAACAAATTAAATGAAAATAACTTAACAACTTTGTAATTGAAAGGAAAATAAAAAAGACAAAACTTAGATGCTGAGCTTTATTGCATGGGTTATTGATAGGAAACTCCAGTTTTAATTGAAAAACAATACTAAAAGCATCTATGGTACTACACTTATGTTTTTCCAAATAAAAAATAGAAACATTTCTTGAATCCAAATGGGCCTTTAGTTTTTCATGTAATATAATTTGAGAGTCCAAATGTTAGTAGTTCTTCTGAATTTCATAAGAAAATTATTAGGATGTCACAGGTTCCTTTCCTTAGTTAAGACTTCCTTGCTTTGTGAAAAAAAAGATTCAATGCAATAATAGTTAAAATGGTCGTTTTATTGGCTAGAGAGAAAACTTACGTATTTCTTAGTGACTCATCTTGATGTGTTTAGGGATGCCCCCTCTTTGTTGCATTAGTTTCGTTTTTAGATTGTAAGGCAATTAGTTTTGTTTGGGGTCATTTGAAAAGGAATTTGGCTTAAGAATTAAGATCTTATATGAAGATTGCCATGGCACTAGCATTGTTATGTTAGAATCTAACTGTAAGGTATGAGATATAGTCTCACATTGGAAGTGTGAGATTCCAATGTGAGGTTTATGAGGCTTTGAGCTTTCCAATTACAACAATTAGCTTTTGTGGTATAGTTTTTCCAAGATTATCAAATATCTGTTTAACTAATTATTCACATTTATTATATTGTAAAAATCATTTTCAAATTTTTATATTTATTAAATCTGAAACAAATTTATTTTTACATTAAATTGAATGGCTTGTTGCATGTTATATTAAATAAAGTGAGAATAAGTTAGGCTTATTTACTTCAGATTAACCAAGTTTGTCCTTTCTCCTTGTGACATTTCTTTGTTTTTATTTAGGCTGTTACAAAAGCAAAGTTAGGTTATGATCCTTTAGAGGTGAACCCTGAGGACATGGTTCGCTATGCAAAGGAAAAGCCTCAGGTATGAGTGATTTGAAGTGATGTCTGTATCATTTATTAAATTGGTTCGATAGTGTATTGGAGGTGAAACATTGTAATAGTGAAAATTTTTGCATTTTGAATTTTGGTAAAATGTTGAGTATGAATAGTAGTCTTTATATTTGAATATTGTTTTTCTTGTTGGCATTATCCTATGATTGTGTACAAACTAAGCATTGACTTGATTGACATTCCTACTCACTTTCCATTGAAAGGGAAGATAGTGGAATAGTGGTTTTATTTGCCAAACAAATTGTGATACAAATTGGTTTTAGGTGAGATTGCTATGGTCCAATATGGATAATTTTACATAAAGTAGAGAAGAAATATGGAGGTAAAATGAATAATCTTTTCTGTAGGTTAAAATGAAGTTCTACATTTCAGCTTTTGGAAAACTTAAATGAGAGCTTTTAAATAAGTAAAGTATATAAATTAATTTTAACCTATGAAAGAAATTTGATCATCTTGTTTTTTACTAATTTTTTGGCTACAGTATTTATTAATAAGTTTAGTTAAAGTGGACCTATATTAAATTGAAAGAGAGCCTTTTACTTGATGCTTATTTTCTAAGTAAAATAGACTCCTAATTTTATAGGTCTTTTGGGTTCTGGCAAATATAGAGCTCAACAATGGGGTTATATTGTATATCATTATACCAAATTCATGAAAGTATTGTAGCTCAGTGAGGAATTGTGTAACCTTTATGTTTTATGAAGAAAGTGAGCATAATCTTTTTTACCTGCTTTTTTCATAGCATATGTTTGAGAATTGATATTTGGAGAAGGGAGAAGAGTACAAATTGTAAACATAAATTGATAGATTCATGTAAATATAACATAACACTCTTCTCAAACATACCCTTATGGTATGTCCTTCTTTGTCAATGGAGTTCTCAATCTGAAAAGTTGTGCTTTTGATCCGTAATAAGACATCTTAATCATTTATTTTTTTATTTGAATTGTTATTGCAGATGATGGCCTCCTATTCTGTTTCTGATGCAGTGGCAACTTATTACTTATATACAACTTATGTTCATCCTTTTATTTTTTCACTTGCAACCATTATACCCATGTCACCAGATGAGGTTTTGCGCAAAGGTAGTGGGACCCTCTGTGAAATGTTGCTTATGGTCCAGGTGGGCTCCTATGCATGTGTTCATTGATGTTGAAATTTTCACATAAATTTTTTCATTTCAAGGCTTCTAGTTTCTCATATTTATTTTTGCATATTTTTCAGGCATACAAAGCTAATGTCATTTGCCCTAACAAACACCAATCTGATTCAGAGAAGTTTTTTAATAATCATCTTCTTGAGAGTGAGACGTACATTGGTGGTCATGTGGAATGCCTTGAAAGTGGTGTATTTAGATCTGATATTCCATCTAGCTTTGCACTTGAGCCATCTGCCTATCAGGTTTGTTGTTTTCCTCTTCGATTACTTTAGTGTTGACTATGCACTGTTTTTTATTACAAAATATGCCATACAATATTGATTTACATATGTGTAGATGTTAAAATTTCACATTAATTACAAATATGACTAAATAAGAACTTATAAAGATTGAAGCAATTATTGCCTTAGAGTCTATCGTAGATTCTATCGTAAGTTTTTGGAAGTAAGTTATACCTAATTTTTTAATAATTAATATGGTATCAGAGTCTATCGTAGATTCAATATTGAAAGAAAAAGAAAAGGTCCTTAGATTTTTTCATTGCAGTATTAAAAAAATAATTTAATCCTATAATTTTCACGCACTATATGTCCAATTTTGAATGTGAAAAGGTGTGTTAAAGTCTAACGATTACTACAAATATAGTGAAATAAAAGTTTATAAAAATTAAAGCAATTCTCACCTTACAGGTTAATTTTTAGGAGTGAGATATGCCCAATTTTTTAATATACTTGTTACAATTTTCAGTTTTGAGGAGGGAGGGGAAGTGATAGGCCACAAGTATACGATTATGTTTTGTAGTATAAAAAGATAGTCTCCCCATGGACTATCCCATTAAGTACTGATTAATTGCAACTCAATTAAATAAAATGCACTCAACTGACTATCTTTAAAATAAAGAGAAATATTAAAAGGAGGGAAAACAATAAAAGTAATAATTAAATGTATATGTAAGATTAAATTCAAGAATTTCCTATAAATTGATTTCACTCCAATGGAAATTGATGACTTTGCATCAAAATGAGCCTCTTGAAAACCTTATTTAATTTTGAAGAAATAATGTCTTAAGGTAATTACTATTTTCTTTTATCATCTTTAAATAACAACCTGTTGTCAATAATTCAAATATACATAGGGATAGGCAGAGCAAAAGAACTTGCTACCTTGCCTTTGTTTGAGTCTAGTTTCCCCTACATGGTCCGTGATCACGGGATTTTTTGTGGGGTGCTGGCGGATCTTGCTGCCATGCTCAAATGAAGTCCAAATTGGTTAAAGCTTTGAGTGACCATCCCACAAGCTTGCTTCTTATTTTTCTTACACCTACCAAAACAGCAAAATGCTAAAAGCAGCTGTCCTAACTACAAGCAATGCAATTTAATTTAAAAATGAGTATTAATTGCTTATTTCTAAGAAATTAGGTGCTAATTTTTTTGCAAATAATATGCATGATTCACACATATTAAGGAGTGCAGAGCAGATATGAAAAAAATATATCTTCTGCTTTATATTTTGTTAACTCTGATATTCTAATTTCTTTGTGATATCTTTCTGTAAATATGTTTGACTAATCATGGAGTGCGTGGTTCCAGCAATTGATCAACAACCTTGATCGAGATCTACAGTATGCTATAAGAGTGGAGGGTAAGATGGATTTGGAATCTGTCTCTAATTATGATGAAGTAAAGAATGCCATCATGGAAAAGGTACTGATTTTGGTTTTTGTCTAGCCAACTTTTCAGGTATAATTACTTGCCTATATTAATCATGTCTAAATCTGTCAATTAATTGTTTGGTTTTACATTTTCAAAATCATTTTTTGCTATACTTGTCATCACAGAAACCACTATTTGTTCATTTGTTTAATGTGGTCTAAAACACTGAAAATTACAAATTACTATATGCATGGCATTAATAAGACATGACCTATTTCTCATTATGCATGCAGCTTGTAAAATTACGAGATGCGCCAATACGTGAAGAATGCCCCCTCATTTATCATCTTGATGTAGCTGCTATGTATCCAAACATAATCTTAACAAACAGGCTTCAGGTATGATGAGATTTCTATTTCATTATATTGCTCTTTAGCAGGATTTGCGGGTTGATAGAACAATCTCTATCCCACACAAGCATATTATATTTTGATTGAAAATAGAAGAAAAATACAGAAATGGAAGAGAAGATTTTCCCAGCCAAGGAAAAAATCCTTAGGCTCCAAGCTATGAGCTGAAATGATAAAATATATAAACGATTCCCACAACATAGAACTTTCTCCATTTTTTAGATTAACATTCTCTCACTGTAGCTTTTCTTTCCCATGTTACTCTCTTCACACCCATTACACACCCCTTCTCTTAATTACAACTGGGCCTTGGATTTAAGCTTTGAGAATACACTTGTAAGGCCTTCCTGGGCTGCACATGTCTGACACTGGTATATGAGGTTTGTTCATTGAAAATTAAGTCTTCACCACTTCAAATTGAAGAATTTAAACATCAAAGCTGGAAATATTCCAAGAAAGAAAGCGAGATAATTGTTTATCATTTTGAAGTCTTCTATTCCTGCATTACAGTGTTATAAGTCTAATTTTGATACGAATGTTTCTAAATATTAATGTTATTCTCCAATTTTGCTTGGATGGCTGTTCAAAATAATGTGAATAAGACTGGTAAAGGATAAGGATAAGTGCAATATGCAGTTTGAGGTATATTTTAGTGGGAATATGTGATTTATGCAAGTCTTTGGCATATATGAAAAAACTCAGCTGGTAGCATGGAGTATTTTTGGTCTTACGCACTTGTGATTGTTGATAGAGGCAGTGCATCTCATCACATTATTCAAATGGTTTCTTAGCTTTTTATGGAAAAATCTTAATGTGTATAAGCATTTGAAGTAAAATGTTAGCAGATGATTTAAAGATATTTCTAATTGTTCACTCTCCCATTCCCTAAGGGAAATTTCTTTCCATATTACAGCCACCATCAATTGTTACAGATGAAGTTTGCACTGCATGTGATTTTAATCGTCCAGGAAAGACTTGCCTACGCAAGCTTGAGTGGGTTTGGCGTGGAGAAACATTCACGGCGAAGAAAAGGTACACTTTCCTTTTTGTGTAATTGTTTCCTGCTCTGCAGATTTTTGAACGTGTCTCTGGAAAATTTAATAAATGATTGACTAGAGCTTTTATTGGAAATCATTCAGTGACTATTATCATTTAAAGAAACAGATTGAATCAGAGTTTGTTGATGGTTCTGGGGAGGGGCTGTCAAAATCTTTTCTTGACCTTTCCAAGTTAGAGCAACAATCAAGACTAAAAGAGCGTTTAAAGAAATACTGCCAGAAGGTTATGACTGTTTTATTTAACCTGCTTGTTTAAACAATGTATAGTTATGGTATACTAAATCATGATGGGTTTCATAGGCGTATAAAAGAGTACTTGACAAACCAGTTACTGAACTTCGTGAAGCAGGAATCTGCATGCGTGAAAATCCATTTTATGTTGACACTGTTCGCAGGTGAGTTAAGATTATTGAAGATTACTTTTGAATAGAGTAAATTACTTTTTCCTCTCCTAACATAAAACTACAATTTCCTCCCATCTTATTTTAAAATATACAGTCACCCCTCTTCAAAGGCGAGGACAATTTATATTTGAGTTCATTTTAATGTAAATAAATTTTTTAGAGATTTTTTTAGTTATTTTCAACTTGACTGCATAGTAGTAAATAGCATACTATGGCAGAGTGAAGTGGCCTTTGGCTGTTACAGGATTCAAATAGCGGAGTGGTTTTCAACAGCTGTTATTGCAACCACAATAGATGCCAAAATAGCGGCTTTTCACACTATAGCAGCACTACTATGATATAGGCTTCGAAAACCCATTTTTACCCTGAAACAAGATTTTTTAGTTTTAGAGTTTTTTGGGGTAAATTTTTTATATCTTCCCCATTTTCTAATGCATTTTTTGCCTCTAAAACATAGTAGGATCTGAAACCTTTCTTCCTTGCCTAAAACCAAAAGTTACTGCTGTTTTGATCTCTCTTCTTTCACACTTTACAGGACTATTTTCTTTTTCCTGTGTTGTTTTCTTTCTTCTTTAGACTTCCCAGTTCACATTCTGCTAATTTTTATTATGTTCTTTTATATTAATTTTCCATCATCTTTTATTTTATGACCTCATTAGTATGTTCTTATTGCTTCTAGATTGGTGGTGATTGTGTTTAGATCAAGACTATTCTTTATCATGGATTTCTTTAATTGTTTGTTTATTTATACGTGTAGTATAAATTATCTAGTTTGTATAATAATATTTTAAAATGGTGAGCATCACCCTTCTTGCTATAGCATTTTCAGAGTTGGCTGCCATGTGTTGCTATCTGGGAATGATAACAATGCTTGATTGACAGCTAGTTTTGAACATTTACTACTGTTAAAAGTTTTGTTTATATTCAAAAGGACAGATTTAACTTCATTTCTTAGAGTAGGGAAGTGTATATTTTAAAATAAGGGGGAAGGGAAGTGTAATTCAAGTCTCTCTCAAGGGAGGGGAGTGTAAATTACTCTCTTGAAATAAAGTTAACCTTTGCACATATAGTTTGATGTAGACAGTAATTAGTATGTCCTTGTATGTTTATAATCTGTGGAGCATATTTGTCATACAGCTCATAATGTAAGCGAGGTTAACCTTTACAGAATCTCTCTAAGTTTCTACTGCACCATTGTTTCATTGCTTGTATTTTACTAACCCCAGTTTTTGTGCTATCTGGTTCAAGTTTTCGGGATAGAAGATATGAATATAAAGGCCTCAATAAGGTTTGGAAGGGAAAACTATCAGAGGCCAAGGCTAGTGGAAATTCTATGAAGATCCAGGAAGCACAAGTATGAATTATATTAATAACTTGTTGATTCTTGATCAGTTTACTCAGTTTGCTACAAACAGTACATTACTATGTTGGGATTTCATTTTAATTATTTTATGCATCAGGATATGGTTGTGCTATATGATTCTTTGCAACTTGCTCACAAGTGTATACTTAATTCATTTTATGGATATGTCATGCGCAAGTGAGTATATTGACCTCCATATTTTCTTGAAGTTTCATAATTGGAATTCATTTAATAACATTTGCTATTTTTTCTTAATCATCTTGTGCATCAATGTTTATCTTACAGGGGTGCAAGATGGTACTCCATGGAAATGGCTGGAGTAGTCACATATACTGGTGCAAAAATCATTCAGAATGCCCGCTTGCTTGTAGAGAAAATAGGAAAACCACTTGAATTAGACACGGATGGTATCTGGTGTGCACTTCCTGGATCTTTCCCAGAAAATTTCACTTTTAAAACAAAGTATGTTCTCTAATTTTAATCAGACTTTATTTTAGCAGCTTGAATGCTGGCAATTCTATGATGATTTTAGTCTAATTTGTTTATATTAAGAAGAACTTTGGAAATTGCTGACTCCAAAATTAAGGGACATTGATTTAGATATTCTTGTATTATTCTTCCAGCTTTCAAGGCATTGGCTGCTGGCAGTTTATTGTGCTACATCCTGCCTATTTTTTACTGTTTTTCTTCCAAGTTCCAAACTGTTATTCTCTAACTTTTAACATTTTTGAATGCTGTTGGTAGAAATCTAAAATGCTTACTCATATTTAATGCATTTCAGAGGCTCAAAGAAGTTGACAATCTCATACCCTTGTGTCATGCTTAATGTTGATGTGGCAATAAATAATACAAATGATCAGTATCAGGTCAGCTTGTAATTTTATTTGTAAATGATTTAATTCACAATTTGATGTACCTGCTTCTGCTTCTGTGTTTTGCAGCAATTAAAATGCAATTTCGTTGCTTTTACATGCAATCACTTCATTCTTTCTATTTCCCATTTTCTGTCAGACACTCACTGATCCAATTAGAAAAATTTATACAACTCACAGTGAATGCTCTATTGAATTTGAGGTGGATGGACCATACAAGGTAAAATGTAGCTGTAGTTTCTGATTTAAATATTTTCTTGAGTTTCACTATTTTTAAATAACTTATATAAGTTTGATTTGATGTAGGCAATGATCCTTCCTGCTTCCAAGGAAGAAGGAATTTTAATTAAGAAGCGATATGCTGTTTTTAATGATGATGGAACCCTTGCAGAACTGAAAGGTTTTGAGATCAAGCGCAGAGGTGAACTGAAGCTTATCAAAGTTTTCCAGGTATATTGATAAAGAATAGAGATCATTAGCTTCAAGCACAAATCTGGAAATTACAATCTGATAATGATGAGAATGTATAATTTTACTTTCTTCCTGATGGCTCTGGTGTGGTCGTATGATAAAGCAATTGTTGTTCTTAATACAAGGCTGATAAGTAAGGAGTTGTTTTCTGTGGAACCAAAACTAGTTAAAGTGGATTATTAACTACTGGCAGTGTTTTAGACAAATTCGTAATTGAAAAAATTTACACTTACAATACTTTTTAGAAATATTAGTTCCAAACTTGGTGGGTGCCTATTCTCTGGATTGGTTCATGTGATAGCATTGAGCAAATTCTTTTTATGAATTTTCTATTTGTATATTGTCATTAAGTTGAAAAAATTATGAAACAGCCTTGAATGTTGTTCAATGTTCAGGTTCTTTTTAATGGTTATTATGTTCTTGATACAAAATTAGAATGTTCTTTTTTTAAGTTCTAATTTTTTTTAATTGAAACATATTTCTTGTCACAGGCTGAGCTTTTTGACAAGTTTCTCCATGGTTCAACCTTAGAGGAATGCTATTCAGCTGTTGCTTCAGTGGCAAATCGCTGGCTTGATCTTCTTGATGTATGCTAAAATCTGCAGTTTAATTTATATTTTCTAGTGTAATTGAATGATGTATTAGGAGCATTGATATATGTATGCTCAAATTAGTTTGTTGAAGATACTGATGGTTTTGACCAGATACAACTTTTATTTCCTTATAATGTGAACTCTTTGTCATCATACAGAACCAAGGGAAGGATATTGCAGACAGTGAGTTGCTTGATTATATATCAGAATCAAGTACCATGAGCAAATCTTTAGCTGATTATGGGGAGCAGAAGTCATGTGCTGTTACCACTGCTAAACGTCTTGCTGACTTTCTTGGGAAAACAACAGTCAAAGATAAAGGTCTTCGATGTCAGTACATAATAGCAAGTGAACCTAAGGTGTGATCCATGTACAGTACGGAAAATTCATGAATCACAAATATGTTTTTTCTTTTTCCTTTTTCATTCATCCACAGTAAGCCTTTATCACTTAGTTAATATTATCTGAAAAATCTGTCTTTGCAGGGAACACCAGTGAGTGAGCGCGCTGTTCCTGTGGCAATATTTGAAACTGAAGCTGGTAATTTTATATTTTGGGATTTTTTTAAGTCACATTACAATTTTATTCTTGTTTACATTTTATAAGGAAGTGTATGCGTAATGTTTGCAGAGGTAATGAAGTTCTATGTCCGACAATGGTGCAAGGTCTCGTCAGATGTTGGCATTCGATCCATAGTTGACTGGTCCTATTACAAGCAGCGGCTTAGTTCTGCAATTCAAAAAATTATCACTATTCCTGCTGCAATGCAAAAGGTTTATTAAATTTTTCTTTTAACGTGGGAAATGATGCATTCTTGTTTGCTTTAATTTTTTATTTTTTTAACTAGAGTTTAATGCTCGTAGGTTGCCAATCCTGTCCCTAGGGTAGTTCATCCTGATTGGTTGCATAAGAAGGTCCGTGAGAAGGAGGACAAGTTTCGCCAACGAAAGTTAGTCGATGTCTTTAATTCAATGAACAGGAATGAGCGCTCAAAAAAGCATAATGATTCAAATCATGTCCATCTTGTGATGGATGATGAGACTGTTAATGACTTGGAGGACTTTGGAAACAAGGCCAGAAGTTCTGCATGTGGACCCAGACCAATTATACGACATTATGAAGCTAATAATGAACGACATTCAGTGAAGCTCAGTGGTCAAGAAAATTCAAAGCCACAGGATGATGATAATGGCAGCAAGGGTCAGTTACTTTCACCATTACAGCAAAATGAAATATCATGTGAAAATGTTGACAGAAATGTAGATTATCAAGCATGGCTTCAAATAAAGAAGCGAAAGTGGAAAGATATTCGGGAAAGGAGAAAGAAGCAAAGGTAAAGTGATTATTGCTACCTTTATACTAAAGTTCATGCATCGATATTAGGAAGTCCTTTGGGGTGGTTCTTATTCAAAGAGCAAGTCCCAAAAGATAATCTTGGGTTGTTTGAAAGAAAAAGGCTAAATGATGTATTAAATATATGCTGCTGCATTGTCTACTGAAATGAATTCATTTGCTGCATTATGCCTTTAATTTTATTATCAGCTCCCAAGAATATGATTAGGACAAAGGAGACATTTAGCATAATTATAAAAGTTTGTGTTGCCATGTAGTGGGCAATTACTTTGTTTCAGAATTTGTATGTTGAAAGTCTTATGTGTAACAGCTTGAGAATTCAATTCTTTCTAAGATATTCAGAAGTTAGGAGAGTTGAAAAGGGATAATCATAGGTGGCACCAGCACCAGTAGAAGGGCCAATCATGATTGTTTGTGTGACTGAATTTACTTTTAACCTGCCTGCTACTCTTAACCTCCATACCTAGAACATTATTAATGGATGAAAACCTGACTGTCATGATAGATACCCGAGTTTTCGTTGTTGTGGTTTGTATTTGTCTGCGCTCCCAAATATTATTGATTGGTAGTGTCAAAGCTTTTCTTTTGTCAGATTGGAGAATGCAAAGAAATCTGACCATTTAAATGGTATTCTTGAACAAATGAATGGTAAGGGGAGTCAGGGAAGAAATAATGTCAGTTCATATCTTAGAAGGCACGAGGCAGATCTAAAACAGTACCACTGGCAGGTAGTGTTAAATTTTGCAACTAGTCAGCTTTACAATGAATGGTATGATTTTTTAAATTTCTTATTCTTTTTTTCCTGTGATTCAGATAGTACAACTTATTCAGAGTTCAGAAATCGGCCAATTTTTTGCTTGGGTTGTTGTGGATGGGATTATGCATAAGATTCCTGTTTCTGTTCCTAGAGTCTTCTACCTGAATACCAGATCACCAACTACTAAAGAATTTCTGGGTAATTGTGTCAACAACACTCTTGCTTGTGGAGGGCATACTAAAAACTTTCAGGTTAAGCGTGTCAGCAAGATTCTTCCTCATGGAAGGCATAGTTATAATCTGTATGAGGTACTGTGGGGTTATTACTTTTTTTTAATACAATTTCAGATTTTTATTTATTTTTTAATTTTTTCTCATTTGAAGGTATCCATATTGCTATGAAAATTTTACAGGTCACGATTAATGAAGTTCAATATAGGGAAGCAAGTAAAACACTTGCAGCTCTTCTAGCAGATCCTGATGTTGAGGTCAGCATATTTATTAATCATATATATCTGTATGCATATTTGTATGTATTTTTGTGTGGACAATTTGTTGTCTTTATCTTCATTTTCTCTCCAGGGTTAAAGGTTGTTTTTTGTGTGTTGTACTAGTATGCCATCTAATTTTAAGAGTACGAGTTGCCCTAATTAGAAGTGGTTTCGCTAGATTGTTTCTTTTCTTGAACAAGGCAGTGAATATACCCTTTTCAATAAAAATTATAAATGGCTTACAATCTCTTTCATTTTGGTACAGTTTGGCTTATTTTGGTAGACAAATGCCTAGATTTGTTCATGCTTATCGAGATTGACCAGTAAAAGTTGCAATATGGACTGGTTTTTTAAATCTTCACTTTAAGCATATACGGCTGTGGGTATGTGTGAAAGGCCTACTTTCTTTTCCAAATTGTGAGGAACTTTTATGTTGGATAAAATGGTAATCCTTTCAAATCTGAATTGTTACTTCATCCCATGTATGCTTCTTAGATTATAATTAAGACTCCATCTCTCACTTTGAATTTGTATACATGCCAAAGGAATTGATGTGAATCCTTCACATATTATTTTGATGTATGTTTTTAGCTGGGCTATTAGGATCATTCAAGAACTTACATTATATTATTAGTTTTACGCCCATAATGTCAAATGATGGGTGCCACTGTATTGAATGTAACTTGGGGGATGCAATTTTTTTGTCAGGGAATATATGAAACAAAGATGCCACTGGAGTTTAATGCTATAGTCCAGCTTGGTTGTGTATGTAAGGTGGAAAAAACTGCCAAGGAACGTAGTCTACAAGATCCATGGAATTTGAGTGAATTGCACATGAAGACCACAACAGAATGTGCTTATCTTGAACAATCTTTATCCTTTTTTTACTTGTACCATAGGTAAGTGGAGGCTAAATGTCTACAGGGATATTTTCTCAATTATTTCTTCACTCATTTCATTTAATTATATTTTCTTTAAAATTGAATTTCATGCTTTTTCCATGCTTTCCACAATATCTTTTATTAACTTCAGCATCTCCGAGGGACGGGCTATATATGTTGGATATTTTCCTGCGTCGAAAGCAATAACTGTTGTGGTAGTTAATCCCTATCAAAACAAAGATTTATCACCAACTTTTCTTGAAAAACAATTTCACGATGCTTCCCAAGCTTTGTCTATTGAGGCACCTCCGAGGAATGGCATTAATTTTAAGGTAAACCAGCAACATTTCTCTGATCATAATTTTGATTCCTTTCAGTAATTCTTAAAATCTAATCTGTAGATGTTCTTTTAATTATATTTATGTTTTAAAATTTCTAAATGCAAGTGTCTATGTACTTAATACTTATGTATTTTCACGTTTGAATATAATTATGTCCAACATTCAGGTGGACTATGTTACGCATGTCAAGGATGCTGAAACAGTGATGCAAAGAGCAATAAGTGGTCACAGGTTATTTTTCTTGCTTGACTATAATATTTTCTAAGGATGCTAAAACAGTGATGCAAAGAGCAATCAATGGTCATAGGTCAAGAATGTAGCATAACTTAGGTTTTCTTTTAAAACAATTTATTCAACATATACAACGTTACAAAGAATAAGAAGTTATACGTACCAAGTTTTTGTTAAATATTGTAACTTGAATTGTATCAATGCGTTAAATTGCATTAACTTCTGTAATTTTTAATAAAAGCTTATTATATATAATTTCTTATTTTGCACGTATTAGTAAAATTGCTTTTAAAAATATGTGACTCTGTTTTCTGTTGTGCACAAATTCCTTTAGCTGCTTAGTGCAAACAAATTTAACCGTATACACCCTAATTTTCTTTCCGGAACGTAATATTATAATCTGTGAGTAAGGAATCTATCACCGTATGAAGGTGAATTTAATGTCCCAAGTTTTCAAATTTTAACTCCTGAGCTGGTTGATAATCTCATTCTTCCCTTGTCTACGTTTCTAAGAATATAGTTGAATATTTTATAAAGTAGCAGCTAATTTCACACCCAATTGTTTTCCCATCGTCTTTTGTTACGAAAAATCTTTATTTGGAAAAATAAGAGTGAACCATGAAATTGGTCCTTGAAATTAAAATTGCTGATTATTTTAGTTCTTATAATTATAAAAAAGAATTTACTCCTTAAACTTGGAAATCATTATAGTTCTTGATGTTAAGGATTGTAAATTTGATCCATGGCTTTGACAATTATCGATCATTTTGGCAAAATTGACTCAGGTTTGTAATTTTTGGGATTAATTTGGTCTATTGCTCGAAAATAATTATTTTTACAACTTCTTGATAGAGTTTTAGAAAATAAAAACTCTTGGTTACGAGACATTCTTGAACATTATTTTTCAAAAATCACAGTTAACTGTTGTTATTACCTTACCAGCCATTTCCTTTTGTGGCTCCTCAGTCCTCACCAGAGTATTTTTTCTGATACATGTACTGTTAGATGCTAACGACGTGATACATGGTGAGTTGGTTCTATAGAGGCCATACCTCAATATGAAGCCTGTTCATGAATTGTTCATGGTAGCCTGTATGCTTTGCAACTGAGTCTCGTATCGGGACCATAAAACCCCAAATCCCTTAATTAACGTCATTATCTTAATTTGATTTTTATTTTTGAGAAATTAAATTAAACACAGATGCAGAAGCAAGAGTGAAATAAGATTTTAAATCTTGAGTAGAGTGATAGGCATGTAGTGTAGCACTGGAGTTTATATATAAATACGTTGTGGTTCGTCTGGACCTGATTTTAACCAATAGATTCCATATTTTGACCCCGCAAGTATAGGGGGAGTTCATTTCATGGGTCTATTGTCTACATTTGCGTTAGTTATTATTCAAACTTCAGACCAAAAAAATGTTCAAACTTAAAAAGAAGATTAAGTGCGATCACAACTTGAAATTTTAAAGGTGTTTAATCTCCATGGTCTTTATATGATTTTAAGGTTTTCCAATTCTGTTCTTTTCTGAGTTCTATGGGCTCTAAATGTTCTAAAATATGAAAATTCGTTTTTCTATTTACAAAATATTTTGGACTGAATTATTTCGCTCTTCTCTGATAATCTTGGTCATAGGAATGAGCATCATGGGCCTATGGTTGCTGTCATTGAGTGCCCAAATGTTCAGCAAGTAAAATTGGGCATTCGAGCTTTGGATGGTTTTCCATGCCTGAGTATTCCTTCTAATGCACGAGATAGTCAGTATCAGGTAAAAATGTTCTGAAACAACTGGTTCTTCTCAAGATTTGGATCCTTTTCTGTTATTGGGTACCGGGACATAGTCAACTTAGGAAGAGAAAGAAACAATTTTTATCAAATATAATTAGGGAGTCTTACAATCAATCAGAATAGGTCTTTATTTTACAAGAATTGGAATTTTTTTTTTCTTTAACATGATCATATTCTATCTCTCGGATCCGAATTCCTTCTCCAAGCTTGTCTGTATTTATCTCTTTTCTGCTAAATTCTTACTATACTTAATTTTGGCTCTTTTTAGATTCTTGGATGGCAACAAGTTGCTGCTAAAATTGGAATGCAACGTTGTGCTGCATCAGTCCAATGGCTAAATGAGAGAATTGCTCTCTCAAGATATGCCCATGTAAGCACTTCAAATCTTTGGCCGCATCTTCGGGAAAATTACCAAAAAATTTAAATAAAAGGATGTATTTGTAAACGAAATTTTCAGTTTAGGAAAAGTTCATCAAACAAAAGTGGTTAATTAAGCCAATAACTAAAAACATACGTGTCACTCTTTGCACGTCGTTAACCGAGTGAGTGGTAAATTGTTCGTAGAATGCAAATATTTTTTATTTGAGAAATTCTATAATGCAATTTCCCCAACCATTTTTTCTTCATATGCGTGTTTCTTTTGCAGGTACCGTTGGGGAATTTTGAACTTGACTGGCTTATATTTACAGCGGATATCTTCTTTTCAAGAGCGATGCATGATAAACAGGTTCTGATTTTGATTTTAGTTCTTGGAGTGTTATCAACCAAATGAAGCCTACTGCCCCGTTTTTGTCCCCCCAATGATAATTCGTTTCTACCCATTCATATCTTAATGAGATATTCATTCGTACAGGTACTTTGGATATCTGATGACGGCCTTCCGGATTTAGGTGGCATTAATGGTGAACAGAACTGTTTTGTTGACGAGGTCCGTCATATAGATATTTGGTTCTTCATTGACCCAATTTTTTGCTGACCTTTAATGTTTTCCTATTTTCGATTTTGCAGAGTTAGTATTAATCAATTTTACTATTATTATTAGGGTCTTGCTAACCAGTACCGGACATTGGTTAAAGAATGAAAAAATAAAAAGTTTTATTAAAAATCAGTGGATTGCATTTAGGATGAACTTAGATGCAGTATTATAAATACTTTGGTCCTATGTTTCAATCAAACCGGAATTTTATCTACACAATTTGCAACAATATTAAATACAAATTTTAAAATAAAATTCTAATTTTAATTAATAAATAGTACAAACAATACTTAAAGAACAATATATAAATTTTCTCCTTGCATTTATGATCTTTTTAATAAAAATTTCTATTTATGATTCCTTAACTAGTGCTTTAAGGGCACTTGTTGGCATTCGTATTATTATTATTATTATTATTATTACCATTATTATTAGGAAATAAAAATTTTTTTTATATTCCTCTGAGAACAACGGTACTAGTTTTTCCATATAACTACCCTTTGAACAATGTCACTCAACCACTAGGACTTTTTTGAGGTGTGTGTGAATCGTCATTAGTAACCAATTTTTATAAAGATCACCATGTTTAACTTGTTCTTATTTTGTTAAAGGCCGTTATTCTGTTGGGGGACATCTTCCAGTTTTATTAAGAGTTTGATAATGAATTAATTCACCACTCTCTTTGACATAAAGATCAGATTTTAAGCTGCAGATTCAAAAAATTTGCGGATAAATAGTACAGGTGCCCAAACCGTGCAATAAGTGTCACCTGGGCATGATTTCCCCTTAATAGTTATTATTTGATGATTGAGCATGCTCATATTTGATCCTCTCAAATTGACTGCTGTGCTATTTGAAAGTAGGTCCACCAACCTGTCCTTACATATCCCGGGGCTTATAGAAAAGTTACTGTGGAGCTAAAGGTTCGATAATCTAAAGTTACTTGCATCACATTGAGCAAGCTTTTATCAGTTGGAATTCCCTTCTATTTTATTTATTTATTTATTTGCAGATACACCACCTGGCCGTAGATGCTCTTCTAAAATGCAACCAAGTTAATGAAATGGAAGGTGGTGCTTTATTAGGATTTGATCATGAATATGATTCTGGAGCATTTTCTGGGAATGATCAGAATGGCGTTGATGAGTCTACCTCTTGTGCAAATCCCTTCCGAGTCCTAATACAGTTGATCAGAATGATTCTTGCAGATGCTGCTAAATCACAAAATGTTTATGCTGATGCAATATTGCAACATCTATATAGATGGCTTTGCAGGTTTTTACTAACTTTGTTTACCATCCTATTCTTTTTTATTTGTCTAACCACCGCATTCCTTCCCATGTTGCAGCCCTAAATCTAAACTTCATGATCCAGCTCTCCACCAGCAACTCCACAAGGTAAACAATTTACACTGAAAGATGCTGTATGATGCATGTAAAGAAATTTGTTTGTTATTTTTTCTATTTTATTATCATAAATTTTATTATCTTTCCAAATGTTCTGTTTAAATGGATAAATCAATCAAAATTGCTTTAGTGAATTGGATTATTCCCTGAAATGCTATATCATTTTCCTACCTGTTAAGTGGGTTTCCATGATTTTGGATTTAGGCTTGTTGGCCCTGATTAGTTCATTTCATTGTGATTTATATGTTGGAGTCAAAACTTAAAACCTCCTAATTGATTGTCTCGTGTGTATTTTGATTGCATTGATATTTATAGGTCATGCAAAAGGTCTTTGCATTGTTGCTGGCAGAGTTCCGAAAGTTAGGTGCTACAATTGTATTCGCAAATTTCTCAAAGATTATTATAGACACTGGCAAATTTGATCTTTCAACAGCCAAAGCTTATTGTGACAGTTTGTTAAGAACCATACAATCTAGGTCAGTTTTGCAAGGGCCATAAAAAAATATAACAGAAGTTGAGAACTTTTGTCTTCGTTTAAGAATGAAAAGTTTACAATTTTAAACTGAAAAACATAAAGTTGTGATGAAAGAATCACTTATGTGAGTCTTTCTTTTTAACCAGATTAAACTTCAGTTGACATTAAATTGGTGCATCTTGCTCTCTGTTTTGTAGAGACCTATTTGAATGGATTGAGCTTGAACCACTGCAGTACTGGCACTCGTTGCTATTCATGGATCAGGTTTCACCATCATGATTTTTCTTTTTCATTGTTTAGCCCTCACTATTTAAGTTGTTAGTTGCCAGATAATATTACATTCTTCAAATTATTTCTGAAGCAATTGTGAATGGCGCACTAACATATTAATAAACTCTGGCAGGCTTTTTTGTAATTATAAATTTGAGGGAAATAAATAATTTTTCTTATATAATCATCAAGAAAGTTGCTGATTTAGTATATACTTTTGGCTTTATGTGAAATATCTTCCTTATGTGCAAGGTTTTAATTCTGATGCCAAAATGGGTATAGATATGTTTCTTGACTGATCTTTCATCAATAAAAAAAAAAAGAAGGAAATATTTTTTACTGACGAAGTTAGTATAAGATTTGACAATGGTGTTACATAGTGTTTACTGTTGCTTCTGCTAGTAGTTGCCATACATATTTTACATCTCTGGCAGTACTTTTCCTAGTTAGAATATCCTGTTTTGACATTAAATGCCTAATGATGCTGGCCAAGTGATGAATGCATCTAATTACTTGTAAGCATCAATATTTTACTAGACTCCTGTGGAATTTTAATGTATTTTTTCATGCTTGATGAAGTGGATATAGTTTTTGTTTGACACAGGTTGAACACAGTTTATTTAAAAAACACTGAAATAATATGGTTTATGACCCAGATTATCTGAATACAATACTTTCACAGTTTCCCCCTAACAAAGAGACTCCTCCTTTTGCACCCAACAAACAGCGAGCAATATTGTCTAAATTTGTATCCAGTAACAGACCCTTTAAAGCTAGCTACCACAATGAGATATCAGTTTGGCCTTGGGCTGTTTGGCCGATCAGTTTTGCAGTCTTTCAGTCATTTCACTTGTCATTATTTGCTCATAATGAGCATTTAATCTTATATTGCTTAGTATTGTGATTTTCTTCTTGTAGTATAACTATGGGGGAATACCAGCAAAATCTGACGAAGCCATGAATGATGAAACTCAAGTTGACATTATATCAAGCTGGAATATTGCTGAATACTTGCCAGAAAAAATCCAAGTAAGTAACCTAATATAAGTTTTACCTTGAACACATAAGTGCTGAAGGCAACAAATCTTTACTATGGCAAGATTAGTTTACTAGATTTTAAATGTTTAGCCATTAAATACAGGAACTGATCTGCATTTTTCATGGCTAAGTTGTTTGATCATATTATGACTTTCTACAGGACCATTTTGTATTTATTGTTTCTCAATTCATGTATATTCCCTGGAATTATGCACAAAAACAAGCAGCAATTAGGTCTTCGTTGCAGAACGGTGACTCCTGTACCCCCTCAATTAACATTGGAGCTGCAGAGGCTTTTGAATCAGATATAAAGGAATATATCAAAGGGCAGGTATAACAGTGACAGAATAAGGAATTGAAATTGCATGGTTTCTTGTATTGACATATCTGTTGATTCTTGTATTGTTTTGCATTCTATTCCCCAGGTTAGCTCATACTTCACACACAAACTGCTTGGAATTGTTCATGATATTGGTCTTCATATGAAGGGGATGAGCAGATCAGAAAACAATCATGGCCTTCCTCAAGTTATGGGTGGTGTTCATAGAGGGGATGCTGCCTTGGAATTTATCAAGCATGCCTGTGCTGTCCTGGCTCTTGACCGAAGTGTGCAGCATGATGTTTTGGTAATCCTTGTTTAGGTTTCATGACCTAGTTTGTAAATGTTATGAACCAATTAACCCAAAAAACTTAATCTGTTAGGTGAAGACACGTGAATACTCTATATTACATTTCTAGCTTGCCCCTCCATGCGAGAGCCCTTGGCTGGACGTATTATTAATGATCCAGTGCTAATCGTGAAAAGTAACTGCACTATTTTGGCTTTGCACGGCTGCTTTTTCCCCCCTATTCTTGTATAAGTACCAACGTTACGTTACCATAAAGATGTGTTGTGCACTGCTGATTGCATACTTAAATTTTAAATGTCAAGAAGATTTCATTAAGAAAAAAACAAAAGCTAATAAGAGATTCAATAAGCTGTGTTGCTTAAGATATCAAGAAGAAAGCATAAATGTAATAGAGCAGCTATGCTTATATGCCTCTCCTGAATAATTTAAATTGAATTTCTTCATTCTCCATCTGCTATTTGATTTTCTGGTCTCTACATTTCTCTTTGGTTAGCAAAGCGATAGTTCTGATTGAATCCTTCACATGACAGGTAATGAGAAAGAATTTGCTAAAATATGTTGATATCAGGGAGTTTGCTCCAGAGGCTGAGTTTTCTGACCCTTCTCATTCCTTCATCCTATCCAACGTCATCTGCAGGTAAGAAAATAAAAATTTTGATTATCAATCAAATAATAAACAGTACTGTAGTTTTACTGAATATCAATAGCATTAGGAGTTGATATGATTTTTGTTAAGATTTAATAGCAAGGTATGAGATTCTAGTGCGAGGTTTATATAGACTCTTCGATAATGGTGCTTTTGTGACATGGTTCTTATCATAACACAATGCGATTGCTTATTGCCTCAGGAATGAACTTTACCTTTCTTTCTATTATTTCTTAGGTAAATGCTAACAACTGTCTTAAAGACACTGGTTAGGGAAAAAAAATTAAATAAAGTATTTGTTGTATTAAAAGTATAAAAGTCATTTAATACTACTTTAATTAATTTAAAATATTTAATAAAGTTTATTTTATTGGAGTCCTTATAACAGTGATAGCTAGACTCCATTTCTTATACATAATATTCTCTCATCTCATTGTTTATCTTTTAAGACAATGTAAACTTTTTCAAAAAATTATTAATTACACAATTTACTATGATAAAATGATTTTTTTATATATATATAAATTACCCTTGTTAAAAGAGTTAGAATGTAATTGTGAATTCAATTAAGTGTTTAGGTGAGATATTAATAAATGAGGATATTACTGAAAGAAATTATATTTTCTTGATTTTCTCAAGTGACAGATATTTTGAGAAACATTGTAACCAAAAGATATAAAATATTAGACCAATGGAGCACCTTTGTGTGCTTTGGATTTTGCAAGCTTCCGTATTAATGGCTAGTCATGAACCTCGATAATTTTATTAGCCTGATTTATACGGATGAAATTTCCATTATCTTTTGTGAGATCAAACGATGTTAATCATGGTCCAAAAAAAAGAGCATGTTAAGCTTCCTATATTCACAAGATTAGTTATCCCTTTTCCGGTACAGCTATTGCAATGACTGCAGAGACTTGGACTTGTGCCGGGACTCAGCTTTATTGACTCAGGAGTGGCGGTGTGCGGTGCCACAGTGCGGCCAGCCTTATGACCGTGAGGTGATGGAGAATGCTCTTCTTCAGATTGTACGACAAAGAGAACGACTATACCATCTACAAGATCTGGTTTGTCTCAGGTGCAACCAAGTTAAAGCTGCACATTTGGCTGAGCAATGTGCATGTGCAGGTTCATTTAAGTGCAAGGAAGATGCAAGTGAATTTCGCGCAAAGATGCAGGTTTTCTTGAACATAGCTTCTCGTCAGAAATTCCAACTTCTCCACGAATGTACCTCTTGGGTTTTAGAACTTAGATAGTTTTATTTAAATTTAAGTCAGCGCCTAGGATACGAAGTAAATACAACCTAAACTGTGTAGAGTAATAGTGTCAGTGTATACAGTGGCACATTGCTAGTGCCTCGGTCTGAAGAAATGGCTAACAGTTTAGGAGTTTTTTCAATTACGTGCAACGTGCTCGTTTAACACTGCCCTAAGCAATTCTTTTATTTGTTATTTGCGTGATGTATATATTGTGTATACGATATGTTTATCTCGATCAATGAAATATTCAACATGTAATAGAATGCATCCCAAAAAAATGACCAATTCCTAATCCTTGATTAAAGTGATTATTCACTCCTCAAAAGAGGCTCATGAAGGTTTTGTGCGTTTTCTTTTTACTTTATTTTATTAAGTGTCATAGTAAGATTTGTCAAAATAAATTTATTGAGTGTTCAAACACCTAATTAAGTTTATTGAAATGTATCCTAAATACTAATCTATATCTAGAAAGACCTATTTATCTTTATTATTTAACATATAATAAACCTTATATTTCTTTATTTTTAAATGTTATGTTTATCTTCTTTAGAAGACAAGAGCCACCACACCAGGGGTCAACTATCCATGATAGTAAACTTGTGATTTGTCCTCTTTCTAAGGGTCTTCGTGCAAACTATGAAGATTTGTTGCACTTTGTCAGCGAGCACCCAACGTTAAATGCATGCAAACCCATAATATGGACTTTGCTTTTGACGGCAGTGGAGTTACCGCCTTCAGACTGAGTACAGATAAGTAATTAAGTTCCAAGCACATACATATCTTATTCTGGTAACGCAATCCCATACTAGATGGTATCTCCAGAGTAGAACTACTGGTATAGAAGCAGTCACATAGAAACAGACTAGTCAAAGATTCAAAAGAGAACTACTCATTTCACATTCTTTTTAGAAGTAAATGCATGTTAGGAACATTTCTCATTAGTATCCATGTCAATTAGCATAAAAAGATACAGTTTTGGCTTTTAATACAAGTTACTGCATGCTTAAAAAAATCATTTACCGTGAAGAATTTTCATGAAAAATACATAACAATATTTTTAATTTGTCTGTTTTTCAATTTTAGTAAAAATATAATGCTTTTGGTTTATATTACCTTTATGCTTATGAGAACAAGCAATGGTGCATCACGTACTTGAAAATAATAAAAGTATAAAAATGTCTAATTTGCTAGATGGTGTCTAACGCTTGAATAACAGTTCAACTCTACCAAATGCTGCAATCAATGATCTTTTAGCATATTAACTAAATAGTTAAAAGATATCTGACAAACACACAAGAGATTGGAGGTGGCAGAGTCAACCAAATAACCAATTGTACGCAATATCAGGAAAAAGTGTTGTGGCAAGCTTGTTGATTTGCTTGATAGACCAGGAAAAATAGCTGCATATACACCAAATAAAGTTCAATGTTGCAGATTCTCCTTTTTTAGGTTTATAATGAAAACTATCAAAAATCAACTCTCCTAAAGCTTACCTCAACAATTCCTATCAGGTGATTTCATTTGTACAATACAATAGCAAAATGGAAAATTTTGCATGCCAAGGAAGTAAAGTTCAATATCATCTGGCTTCCAAATTATTTATTACAGAATATCATTCTCCTAATTGAATTTTTTTTAAAATGGAAGGTTCTCTACTTTCTCTATGTTATTGGGGGTTAGCCTTTCTTCTTCTGACATTCTTCCTCGCACTTGCAGGAACCTTGGTTTCACCTTCATCTTTCTGCACTTGCTCATTGTCAACAGCAACTGTTGAAGAAGATTTAGTTTCACCTTCATCTTTCTGCACTTGCTCATTGTCAACAGCAACTTTTGAAGATGATTTGGTTTGACCTTCATCTTTCTGCACTTGCTCATTGTTAACAGCAACTTTCAAAGAATTGATTCGACTCCTCAAGCGCAATATCTCACCTTTGGCAGCAGCCAATTCCTCCTCCAATTTCTTCCTTCTGTTCTCTAAATTCTCTCTTTCTTTCCCAAGTCTCACGATGAGGTTATGTGCATCTTCAATGTTGTCTTGGGCCTCTTTGCTTGCATTTCTTTGGTCTGTAAGGGACTTCAAAAGCACCTCTTTCTCTTTTTCAAGGCTAGAAATAAGAGAATTAGCTCTCTCTAGTTCACCAGAAAGGATCACAGCATTTCGGTTCATTTCATCTAGTGATTTGGTAGCCTCCTCCAGGTCCTGCTCAATAGATCTCCGGTCCTCCTTGTCTTTTGACACTTGCTTTTCCAAAGCTTTTAAATCTTTATTCAAAGAAGCAACTAACCGTTTTTCTTCCTTCAAATCCTCTGCTGTGGTTTCAGCCTTTTTGTAGATGTCAATTAATTCTTTTTGTAGGTTATCACGTTTTTCAAGAGCAACTGTCAATTCACTGGACACCCTTTGCAGCTCTGTTTGTGTTTTTTTCAAATTTTCCTTTGTGGTTGTAAGCTCACTTGCCAGTATTTCTGCCTCATGTTTTGAATCATCAAGGCTTCTCTGTAGCGATTTTTTAACTTCAATGAGCTCAGATGAAAGCTGAGAGACCTCAGCCTCGAGCTCTTTGCGCAATTTGTTTGACTCATTTAGAAGTATTTCCAATTCAGCAGATTCATTTCTTGAATTTTCAAGATTCTCCTGGGTGACTTGGAGTTCATACTTCAAATTGCTCACTTTGCCAGATTCATTCTCTAGAACCTCCTTCAAATCATCTCTTTCTTGGGATAAATCAGCAATGATGATCTGGTTTCTACTTGCTTCACCCAGGGCAAGTTCAAACTGATTCTTTAGCTGCTGAAGCTCCTCTTCTTTTTCTCTTAAAACCTTAGCATCTGAAGCAGTCTTCTTGTCTGCTGTGAACTTTAGGTCATTGTATTCCTTTTCCTTGACATCATATTTACTCCTAAAATCATTGTTCTCAAGAGTTAAGGAACTTATTCTTGAATTTAGTTCTACCACCATGGAATCTTTTTCTTCTAGTTCCTCTTGGCTTTTCCGTAGTTCATTTTCCAACCCCTGAATCTGCAAACGAACATTGGATAAGTCATCCTTGGTTTGCTCATAGGTAGAATTCAAACTCCTCAGTTCCAACTCCTTTTCTGCAAGGGATGTATTAAGATTCTGAACAACATCTTCTTTGTCCTTGAGATCCACACTCAATTGATTGATTCTTTCCTGTAAAATTTCAATGGAATCTATCTTTTCTTTCAATTTGTTTTCAAGATCCTTCTTATCTGTATCACTCTTTGTAAGTGCAGTTTCAAGTCTGTCAATTTGAAGTTTCAGCTCTCCAATCAAACTTCTCTCATTTTTAAGCTCATGTCCCAAGTGGTTGATAGTGCTGTTTGCAGAATTAAGTTTGTTTATCAATGCTTTCTGCTCTTCCTTTGCCTTTTCAAGTAGCTTGGTCTGTTCCTCCTGCTTGTTCAGTAACTCCAACTCATAGTTCTTCTTCACGGAAACAATCAGCTCTTCCTTTTCCTTCAGTTTGTTACTCACCTGTGCAAATTGACCAGTAACATGTATTGCTTAATCATAACAAAAAAATGCTCTAAAAATTAATTTTAGAGAAAAAAATTAACAATGGAAAGAAACTTGTCATTATTGTCCCTTTAGTAGCAGAAGAAAGAAAAGAATACTCCCTCATTTCCCTTTTTTACTGGAAGAGATACATTCTTTAAGGGCCAAAAAACACGTCTTACCAGCATCCAAGAATCATAAGAGTGCATATAAGCTTACTGTTTCTATTGTTGCAACAGCAGAGGACTTCTCTTTCTGAGCAAGTGCATAGAGAGCACCCACCACACCAGAAGAAAATATTCCAACTCCATTCAGGAGAGGCAGAAAGGAATTTGATGGTTCAACCACTTCAGGAGCTGTCTGTCCATAGAAACTACAAAGTTTAGAACATATTGGACATCCAAGGAACAAATATGATAATAAGCAAAAATTAACCATTCAACATTGGTATCTGATCTTAACACAAACCTCTGGTTTCTGGTTATCCTCTGGTGTCTTCACCTCACTTTCTTCTGCAAGGAGAAAAAATAGTTGTGCAAGTTACTATGAAAAAGAAGACTAAGGTTTTACTAAACAGCTGAAAAAGGTAATAAATTTTCATCCAAGTCTCAAAATTTAAGACAAGGACATGGAAAATAAAATGTAGCAAGGGCTAGGCTATGCATGAATATACAAAATGGGGTGCAGAAACGAAAAGACAGAGACCTCCTTTTGACATATGTATGGAACTCTAATGGTATATTGTAATGGATGTAAAATAATCAACCATTCATTTTAAATTAAAAAATAGGTCATGTAATATAGAATATGTCACAAGCAAATCAGTGAGAACTTACCGAAGGGAGTTTATAAGTATCCATTTATTTTACACCCTCAAGGAAAAGAATTGAAAATTCTATATTTAATAATAATCTAGATACAAAAAGAAGGAACATGCATATTCACAAGTTGAAACCATATGGTTGCATTGGTAGGGAAACAACTTTTGTCTTTAATATAACAGTAAAAAAGAGAACATCTATTCCGTATTCTTTTCATTTCATTCTCTGCTATCTTCATCACCAGGGAGTTAAGTTGTGTCCAAAACATGTTGTCATTACCATTACTAAGCCAGGAGAAAAACTCTTATTTCCATTATATTTTCTGCTAAACAGAAAGAAAAATATTAACTTCAGCCCATAAGGTTGAGTGTAAACAATTAACAATAGTAAGATTTTATTGGAAAAGAAAGCATATATTACACTTTTATATCTCCAATGTAATAAATGTTTTCTTTTCCAATAAAAGCTTACTTTTGAATGCTTAAAATCAACTCTAAAGGCTATAGTTAACAAAACCTTTCATTAAATAGCAAAAGAAAGCTTTTTTTGCTCAAACTGTAAATCAAACATTACTTTTTTACTAGTTATATCACACTTCCATTGAAACTGTGTGAGTTTAATAACGCTCACCAAAATCAAACTCGGTATATTAGGAAGTGTTTTAACCACTTAATTTCTGGGAACAATGCAGCATTCAACCAAAGAAGTATCTTACATTTGAATTTTGGCTCCTGTGCTTGAATGCTGGTGAACTCTGATGCACTAGTTCTCCTAAGTAATTATCATACTCGTTTAATACAGGTATGCATTTACATTTCCCTTTTCTTTTCAAAATTTTCTATCAATTGAACACATTACAGTAAATCTATGTTAAGCATCATAACAAGAAAACAACAATAATAACAGTTTTATTAGCATCAATTTTCAAAATTAATTTTAATAGCTTAAAAATAGTAAGTTTTAATTTTAAAAAATTATTATATTTTTGTATTGTCAATACAATAAATATTTTCTTTCCTAAAAAAATTTACCTGTTTTAGTTTCCTAAACAATAAGTGTTTTTGTTAACATCAACCCTTACAATTAACTTTAAGCATCTAAAAGGACTAAGTTTAAGCACCAAAAGCAGTAAGTTTTAATTACAAAATAACACATTTATTATATTAAAGTTATAAAAATATAATAAATACTTTTATTTTTTAAAAAAATTGTACTCTATTATGAATTGTTTAAATTTAGTAGGGAGCTGAGGTTAACATTTTCGTTCTCCAAAATAAGCAATGAGATTAAAAAAGAAAGTTGATTGAGTGAGAAGTAGAAGGTGAAGGAACATACTTGGGGTTGGGGATTGGGGTTGAAGAGCTGGGGCTCGCTTCAATCGGCGAAATGGGAGAAGGGCGAAACCCATTAAGAGAAAGGTTCTCTTCTTGCAGATTGGGTCGGGTTGGCCCAAACAACACGACGTCGTAGTAGCTCCGAACTTGGTGTTGGAGTGTCCATTTTTGGGGCGATAATACGGATAGAGGACGGAGGAGGTACCCGCCACGAACCCCATCCTTTCCTTTCTCACTCACTCACTCACTCACTCACTCGCACTGCGCCACATACACACACTACTCAAACACTCATTCAAACTACTATCTCTCTTAGGATAATTGGAATCACATATGATTGGAAAAGAAAAATCATATGAGAAGAAGATAACAGAATAAGTTCTTTTTCTTTTCGTTTATTACTTCGTCCCATCTTGTTTATAAGGCTTTATTTACAAATATTTAATCATTTTTTAAAACAGTTTTTATACTTATTCTTTATAAATATCAAACTCTTTTAATTTCTCAATTCTCAATGACTAATGTAGTAATATAGTTTGATTTAAAATTAAATTAAACTTAAAATGTTATATTTTTTAAAATTGATGTGTTAATTAATTTTTAAATGTTATAATTTAATAAAAAGGTATTTTAGATAAGAATTTAATTTAAATATACAATAAATAAATAAATAAACTTACCTAATCAACTAATTAAATAAAACACCAAATATAGAGTTTAAAATAATTAATCTAAAAATCATTAATTGGTAATGACATAACAAATAAAATTTAGTTACATTGTTAATTTTTTATGAATCAAAATTAAATTTCTATTTTGTTAATATGCGATAATTTTAAAAATAAATTTTTAGTAATAGAAAATTTTAATTTTAATCAGTCAACATCTTAATGTCACCTGTAAAATTATATTTATATTTTCTCTTATAACAAGCTATAATTAAATGATATTACATTTAATGTGCATTTATTTAATTAAATTAAATTCGATGTTTTATCTCTCTCCTTGGAAGAAATAATAGAATTTATATTTTCATTTGTATTAAAATTACTTTTAATTTTTTAATATGATTTTACTATTTTTTTCTTTAATTTGTGATAAGTGCACAAATTATTTAAAAATTAGGTTAAAACAAGGGTATAATAAAAAAATAATTAATAATAAATAAAAAGTTCATCTTTTAGAAAAAGAAACAAAATATTTTAATAAATTGTTCTCTCTTTCATTTGTTTCTTACTTAGAGGGATAATTTTTTAATAAACATAGCATTTTTTTTCTCTTTATTTCTTCTCCTTAGTTAAATAGTGACAGTATAATTTCTTTCTCATTCCTCTTTTTTTTACCTCGAATAAAAAAATTTATACATATTACTAAAAATATATCTCCTAATCAATATCAAAAAATAATCCTTCTGAAGTATAGAAAACTATTAAAAGTAAGTTGTGCATCAGCCTATCAAAACTACTAACATCAAAATTACAACACTTCCATCAAATTATGTTAATGAGTGATTAATACATGAATAATTATTATTGATAATAATTATATAATTAATATGTATTTAGGCTAAAAAGATAAAAAAAAATTGTTTGAATTATATAAAAGAAACATTTTTAATAATAAATTTATTAAAATAAATTAAAAATATGAAGTTATTTACAATAATTAGTTTTATATAAAAAAAAGTATATGTTAGAATAAAATGAAAATAATAAAATAAATTTTTATTTTTATTTATCATAAAGAAATTGTTTCCTTTATTTAATTTGCAATCAAATTACTAAATACAATTGAATAACAACATTATAATTTCTTTTTATCAATCACTTTTAAAATCAAGTTCTTCTAAAATTATATATATAATATGTAACATTAATTTAAAATTCACTTACAAATCATGTCTTATTCCTTTACGCAAACATGGGTCAGTTAGTGAGGAATTCAGGGAGCTATGATCACGAATTAACAATGACAAATCAGAAGTGAATAATATAGCGTTAAGGATGTTGTATCCCAGAAATCAGAGCAGTACCCGAAAACACAGGTAAAATGGCCTCAAAATTCATCTAAGTAATTTGCCATTGGTTCCGCAGTAAAATTTACAAAGTGCCATAAGTTTTTTGAGTGGTAAACAAAGGTCCAATTGATATGTGACACTTTGTTGGACAGTTTTATTGTAAATATATAAATAAGATAATGTTTGATATTGGGGGGTCCATCTTATCCAGGTGGGTTTGGGATCCCTGTTAACCAGTACCTTGTTGTATAAAAAATAAATAAAATAAATATCAAATATTTCTACTCTTTCTTTATAGCACTTAATATTATTGAACAACACTTCAAATCTTCATTAACAAATAAATTCAACATATTCATGTAATATTGCATAGTTATTCTTATGGTTAATAAACAATAGTAATGATAATTCACAATGTTATGGTATAGGCAAAACTTTCTCAATCCCTGCCTATATGAATACTCAAACAGAATCAAAGACTCAAAATGCTAGTACTCATATGACATGCTTTTAACTGTAATCTCATAATAAGCACATTGCTCATTAGTATCCATGTCAATTAACATAAAAAGGTACCTGGTATGATTTTAACATCATTTACTGTGAAGAATTGCCATAAAAAAATTATATGACATTGTTTTTAATTGTCTGTTTTTCTTTTTTAAATAAAAATATAATGTTTTTTTTTAGGTTTACATTACATTCATGAGAGAGTTCACCAATGGTATACACAATTCAGAAAAAGTATACTGGGAAATTTGTTGATTTGTTTGATAGACGATGAACACTAGCTGTAGACACTCCAAACAATGTTCAATGCTGCAAACTTAGTATTCTCATTTTTTAAGGGTTATTTATGAAAACAATTAGAATGTATAACACACCCCTTAAGGCTTTAAGCAACAGGCTTTTGGGGTTTGAACATTGAAACAAGGAAACAGCATGCATGATCCCTTTACCTTGTGATGAAATATTATTTAAATATTATGAAAATTGAGGCTATTAAATTAATGATCAAACTACTAATCGCTTGATTATGAAAGTTTTGAAAAGTAAAAACATAAACTATTGGGTAGAGGCCTGAAATGGTTTTTAATCTAAAACAAAAGCAACTACTAAGCCATTGCTCAACAGCTCATGCTTTTAAGTCATGAGTTACTTTGACAGAAATCTTAGCATAATTTTTAAGAGAAAAAGAAAACTAAATAGAAAAGACAGATGATGGGAATGTTCTTAAAGGATCATGTCTACATCTGCAAAACGTGTTTCAATCAGCTGCATAGCACAATCTGGTTCCCCAGTATTTTTTAAGGAGTATATGGCAAGAAAACACAGCTAAGCATATGAACAAATTTTCACAATATTGTTAGAATATTTATTGAATCAGGCTTAACTTGCCTTAACTTGATTCATTCAGCTTTAAAAAATTATTTTTAATTCAAATTCATTATTATGGAAGTTCAAATCAATTTAGTTACACTAGTCAACTTTGTCAACTCTAAATAAATAGACGTATTCCAATCAACAAAACTTTAATTAAGATCATTCGATCATATCTTATAAAAAATTAATTAATGTTGCTTTCAAATTGATAAAGCTTCTTGAAAATGATTTAATCAAACATGAAAGCAACATTTAAATAATTATAACGAATGATTTTTTTCTTAAAATAAAAGAAAAATATGAATGAGAATTAGTGAATAAATATTACCATTTTTCTGTTACATCTTGAGAAGCATGAGGTGGGAAGGTAACAAAATATATTTTATATGTGTGTTTGTGTGATATTATAATAAAGTAAAAAATAAAATTAAATGTAGAAATTGAAGTGTGAAGAATAATGCGTTGATAGTGGCCCCATTTTGAATTTAATGTAGTACTTCTTATGAATGGCATAAGGGTCATGCATCTCACATAGTCATCATTGGCATTTGACCCTGACTTGTTAAACTTTTAATTAATTTAATTTATTTTAATTAATGAATAAGTTCAAGTTCGATTTTATCTTTGACTACATAAACTAATTAAGTTTGTATTTTACATGCTTAACCTCAAAAACCTGTATACGACATATGATAAGAAAATTGTTATTTTTATACAAGAAAATAAATTTAATATTATTGATTTTTTATTATATAGATTGAGGACACGTTAGAAAATTTGATTTATTAAATACTATATTAATAACTTAAAAACTACTTCAAGAATATATTTCTTTAAGGATTTCACTATTCTAATGCGACATATTCACTTCAAAATATAAAATGAGAATATTGATTGAAAATCAATAATTAGAATTTAAATAATATCAATTTATCATACATGTACATATATTCATATGCATTTAATCACATTCGCACATGTTATTTTTTTATTAATATTCATAATTTATTGATTTCATTATCTACAGAGAATCTCTCACTAAGAACAAGATAAATTAATTTAATAAATATAATTAATTAAGCTACCGATGACTTAAATAAATTTAACTTCTAATTTTTAAAAATAAATTAATTTTATATTATTTAGATTAGTGAATTAAATTTAAATACTATGTATTGTAGAAATTGATCTTAAATTTTAAATATTTAACTTAACTTGAGTCATATAAAAAATTGGGTTGGAGGCTGTTCTGTTTTTTGGATTTCTTTTCCACTTCGTTGACAAATGACAGAAAAACAATTATAAAAATATATATTTAAATAATAGTGAATTATCAGGAAGAGAAGAAAAATATGTAACAACGGATGTTATTGTTGAAAATATTTGATATTTTTTTATTGATTTTTAATTTTTAAATATAATATTAAATCAATATATAAAATTACAATCTTTACTCTCGAGGGCCTTAAGGGGAGGGCCTAAACCTTGGGAAAACGTATCTAGGCCCATTTTAACATTCAAATGAACTAGTCTTATTTTGTGAGATGTTTTTTTTTTTGTTTTTGTAATCTTGCTAATAAGTGTTAATAAGGTATTGGATAAAGAAATAATAATAGTTTTTTATTAAAGTATATTAAGAATGTATTACAAATTTATTGGAAAAAAAAAAAAAAACACGTCTATTGTACACAGATATAAAGGTATAATATATTTCTTTAATAAAATTTTATTGTTTTTAGTTGTTTAAATTCACCTCTAAGATGTAAATTGAAACTAAAAAATATTGTATATATATTTTTAAGATTAGATGAAAATGTAAGCTTTTAAGCATCTTATAAATGATTATTTAAAAAAAAAACAGTCACTTAGAACATATTAGGAACTAGGCTTTAAAGAGGAGAACAAATTTATCATTTTAATA